CTCTTTATCAGCGTTGCAGATATCCGAACACGGGGTTGAAGATGCAACGCGTATCGGCAGCATGCTTGTTGGTTGGTCGAGTTCTTACAGTGCCTACAATACAGCAGGCCTCGGCCGAAGAATCCCATGCTGTTTTGCAGGTCATGTGCTGCGGGTGATGCTGCAGTGTTTGCGGCATGTACAGTGCATATGCTGATATGTCATGTATTGAAGATCCCAAGCATTGATCTACAGCGCCATGTTGACATTTGGACTCATTGCCAAGAGCAACGGATTCACAGCTAGTCAGATCCTTAATTCTCAGCTCTTATTGCTTGATATACGATCTAGACTCAAATTATAAGCAATGCTATAATACACGTGGAAGAAACTGAACTCAAAACACAGCTGCTTTGCATTGCCGCGGTTGTCGCCTGTCAAACACACACTCTTGGCGCGTGGGTGCAGGGATAGAGATCGTGGGACCTACTTGTTTGGGAGCCTTGACCACGATTTCCAGGGGTTGACCACGTCGTGGGCTCATCTTGACGTCCGCAATGTCCTTTGACAAATGTCACTTGGGTCTTGTTCCAGGTAAGTGAAGTAAACGAGGACTTTTTGTGAATCCATATCAAGCGATCGCCTAGGTTGTATTTGCGGGCTATTGATGAGAAAAGAAAGGAAAGGAAACGAGGCTGGGGTTTCTGTGTCCATGAATCCTGAATCAGAAGTGTTTCAGCAAAAGTAAAAAAGACACAAAAAAGGAAACATTAGAGACAGCCTCACTCCATCACTCCCAGTCTCTCACGGATCTCGCAGTTCCAAAGTGAATGTGAATGTGAGTGACCCACCAAAACAGGGGCTTATTTTCTTCGTCGAAGGCTTCTGGAACAACTGTCACAAGTCATCCCCCCTGGCCCCCCTTGGTCATTGCTCCTGGGGTCTCCGTTTTGAGTCCTTTTGTGGCCGGCTCCATCTGGCGCGAAAAAAGAGCAGAGAAGAGGAGACAAAACATGGCGGCCCAAAGGTAACCTAAGCCTAACCAGGTTACCTTAGGCTAAAAAGATGAGGTATCATCTCATCGTATCGTATCCGCTCTCGGTACAGTAGCGGATGGTAGGCAAGGCAAGGCAAGGTAATCCACTGCTTTGGAAGCGAGAAGGAAGACGAGACAGTTTCGACATGTGCAAGACGAGGTATGCATGCGCATGTACGGATAGAGTTGATGTGCACGCGACAGCAAGGAGAACATGCCGAGGAGATGCTGTAAGTGATAGACTTTGCTTATTCCATCACACTCCGAAGCGACAACTTTGTCTCATCTCCTTCTCTCAAAGTGGAGATTATATCCAGGCCTCAGCTACCATAGCTCGCAGTCAATACCACTCCAAGACAAGAGAACTTTTAGAGTTCCCCGCGTGAACGGGTCAACTTTCCTTCTCTTTTCTCTCTTTCACGTCACACAGACTAGCAATGAACACAATAACGAATAAGCAGAATCTAACCGTGTCTGTGCGAACAGCCCCCTCGTGTCGTCGTCGTGAAAGCTGCTGTCATAATGACCATGGCCAACTGCCGCCCAGACCCTCCCTATTCGGGCTAGAGGCCGTTGTTTGATAGGTTCTCTTGGCTCTGTGTTTCGTTGCTGAGGATTGCGATGTTACCGTGTGTTTCTTGGCTATACCCTTCGACATTTGTTAAACTCAGGGTGAGCTGAGTGTTACGACAAGTTGGTTTCATTGTTTGCTGAGTTGCTCCGAATAGAGCCGTGCTCTGTTCGGCCAACATGACGAGACAAGTGAGGGAAGTGCAACGTTCAAGTACCGTTACGTCTGACCATTTCCTCCGAAATAAGAGGACCCCTTGCTTGCTCCATTGCTTCGATTCCAACGCACGCGACTAGTGGAGTATTCCATCGGGTCTGTCTCCATAAGTGCCTCAGCATCGGGATTCCCCTCCAGACTTTTTGTTGACCCGTCCGTCGTCTAGGCTCGCTCTAGAAGCAATCCTGACAAACAAATTCGGTTCCCTTCTCTTTGCCCCCGACTAGTGGTTTTGGCTTAGACATAACACCTGGAATTGGCCGTCTAATTTGTCAAGACAGCCACTAAGTCAGAGGAGGAAGTGTCTTTAGGAAGTTTCGTGTCGCTCATCGGGATGGCTTACATACAGCCAAGCTTGGCGTACCTAGCTAAGAAAACAAGCCGAGAATTCATCCATCGATTGGTGGCTGGGCAAGCGGAACAGGTCCCACTGGTACCAGAATTTCCCCTGGGGCCGGCGCTCGGAGGCTTGGAGTCCAAGGATCAAGTTAACTAACACTAACTGGCATAGCCAGGAAGTTATCGTTGTCGTAAAGATCCGATCCCTGAAAAGGTTAAGGTGCTGGGATAGCCTCTAACTGGAGGAAAGGCATCGGCGGATCGGCTATAACCAACCGGAGGACCCTTATTACGACGGGTTATTCCTGCTTGTTACCGTCGTTCCTTATTAGCATTTGTTGGTGGGTCATGATATGAAGCAAAGTCAAAGTCAGAGCTCAAGTAAGGTACAACACCATGTTCATGTTCAAAGCAATGGCCATCGTGATGCTTGGTTCTTGAGGTAATTGTATCCTTGAATATCTTGCGGTGAGAATTCTCTGCCGCTGCTCTATTGCGGATTCATCGTCATAGATGAAGATAAAAACTTGGTGTGTGAATGTGGATGTGGATGCTAAGGAACAAGAAGATGATTTTAGCGTATCCGAGAAATGTGGTTTCCTACGGTAAAGTTAATCATGATCCATCCAACCATAGGTACCTAGCTGCCGTCAAATTGTTGGTATATTCATGTGACGGACTGTTTCCTTCAGATTAAGAATAGATACGAAACTCACCTCTAACGAGCAACCCTTGATATATAATGATGCGCAAACAATTCATCTTCGCACAGGACGCATCGCACGCCCACACACGTTTAGTAGCAAGGGGAGTTTGATTGTAGTTGAATGCCCTGTGCCGGGTGCCGCCAATTCCAACCATACCCTAGACAAGAGAGAATTCTTGAGCTAAAGAAGAAAAAAAGAGCAAAGTAGGATTGGATGAATCGGCACTCGCATGGATATCAATCACCCACACACACGACCCTTGTCTTCTCTAGCTCGTCTAGCTTGTCTGTAGTACGGTACCCACCGAATGGAAGCAATGCAGACGAGTTTCCCCATGTCATATCCTATTGGATCCCATGGATTGAAATATCCCAGGCCCTTTTTCCCCTGGTCAAACGGTTTCTCAGGTTCGCGAGGGGCCTTGTCTTAAAAACGCCCACCCCCACAGCCACGAGCTTTGAGTGTCGAGTTGACATTCACTATCGAAACCAAAGCAACGAAACCTCGACTCGACTCGACTCAACTCTACGGACTGAATGATATTGATGATGACGGATTAGAGGATCATCAGCTACTTCTCGGCGTCTTTCCATTTTACTTTGCCCTTAAATACAGATTCTTAAGCTCGGCTTCATTCACCCAGAAACTCAAACTAAACCTTGTCCGTCCGTCCCGTCGTTTCCGTCGAATCCCCTCCAATTGCCATCCTCCTCTTCCATCATCTCTTCCTCAACTTTCTTGTCGATACGATTTATTTGGGTTTACCATCTTTTGTTCTGGCTCTGGGGCTGCAGCCGCGACTTTCCGCCCCCGATATTCCGTCCGTCTCACTACCTGGAGCTCTACATTAATTGCCCCTCCCTCTCTCTCTCTTACGCCTCATCAACCTTGAACTGGGCTGCTGCAGTTCCTTGTCCTTGTCGACTATTTCCCCGCGCAGCATAACTTTGCGAGCGAGTCAAAGGCCATTCTTCTCTTCTCGGTTAACCTGATACGTTTATTTAACGACTCGATTTCTTTGTTCGACAATCTTGCCCGGAGCAATTGCACATCTTGGGTGCTGCCACCTTTATCCATACCGTACCATACCTTGTATTGTCTTGCCATACCTTAGCACACCCTGGTCGAATCGGACATCGAACCAAGCAGAGAGCTCCGAAAGCAAACATCCCTCCATCCAATTCAATTCATCCGAACAAAGACAGTCCCCGGCCTGTCTGGTCCACCGAAAATCCAATTGAACCGAATCGAATCTTCGACAACAGCTACTACTGTCCTGTCCTGTCCTGTCCTGTCCTGTAGCCCTACCTACTGCACTCCGTCTGCAACTGCAACTGCAAGCACTGCACGCGCCATTCGTACTACCACGCCCACGCCTAATTACTTGTACCTACCTACCTTACGCACGCCCTCGTCGATCCGGCCCCTGCTCGCGCCTCAAAGTCTCGCCTCGATACCTTTTGACTCTCCCTCTACAAACTTATTTACAACCGCGACGCCCCGAAAATCAGCTTCAGTTTAAATCAAGCTTACAGCACAGCTCTCCCCCGCCGTCCCTTGTGCAGTCTCGTGCTGCCAAAAGGGAGACCCAATCCCTGTCTCGCAGCGTCGTCCAATCGTCGATAATACTTTGATACTTACGTTTTTCCTCTGCCGCGATTCCATTCCGAGACGACGATACGTCATGACATACATTGTAAGTGTACAACACAAACTTCCTGAAGTTCAAATCTCCATGTCTCGACTTGACTTGACATGTCTTGCTTTGCTTTGCTTGTCTTTACTTGACTTGGCTCTCGTACAACCACATGCCAATTCCTGCCATGTCCGACGTCGCACCCTCCACGCTCCGAGCTGCTTCCTCCGCCCTCCACGTTCCTGTTCAACCTACGCCCTGGTCAATGAAGGCATCACACGCCATGCATTCACTTCACATGGTCGATAGCTTGTCTCAGCACATCCCTGTCAGCCATGAATGAATGCTTTCCTCCTTGAGCTTTTGACTCTCTGCAAGTCCCTAGGTCGAGCAGTCTCGCCCGTCCTGTTGGGTCCAGACATTTCTGGTACCTTTCTTTACCAAAGATCTCTCACACACACTTCTATCATATATCATGATTTCTTACCATGATCCCATTCCTATTCCCATCCATCCGTCCATCCATACACTGCAACCATGTCTTGGCTCTCATCGACGTTGCTTCTTAACGTCGCTTTCCACCTTCCCTTGCTTTTATCCCCCTTGGCTTCATCCTCACATCCCTTCCCTTTTCACACCCTCGCTCTTGTTTCCTAGCTGCCAGTCCGTTGACGGGCCGTCTGCCGTACCTCCTAATGGCCCCCGAGCCGCCCGCCGTCTGACATGCACTTTCACCTTCACCCACACCCTGTCCTGGTCTGTCCTGTCCTTTCTTTATCACCATCGCATCGCATCCCACATCCCACGTACCCAGCCCAAGTCTTTACTTGTCTGCACACCCTTGACTAGGCACGAACAAGACACAGGCGCACACAGACATGCACTTACATCCACACCGCTTCACCGCTTGACTATGACTGCCCTGCCCTCGATTCAGCGTTGGCAGTTCCGGGGCAATTATGATGCTTCCTACTGGAATCCCAACTCACCGAGTGCCACATCACTTCCCTACCTCAGCCCCATGACCTCAAGAACGGCCCGTTGCCGGTAAGAAAGAAGCCAGGGCGACCAAAACAAGCTGTCTCCGTACACCGAGATATATCACCACTTGTTTTGTTCCTATAATACCATGTCTCCCATCGGTACCCCTTGCAACCCTCCTGTTCTGAGGCCTATTTATCCATACATGATCTATCCCTGTCCCATAACGTCATGAGCTTTTTGACATGATATACTTCCCCAGAGCCATCCTTTGTTACTATGATCAATTCTCCCGGCAGCTTGTACATTACCTATCACTTTGATCTACTGTTGCTGTCGCGCCAACTGGCTCTCTGCTCGCAATGCGCAAGAATCAACCACTAATGCCCTCTTTCCAGCTATGTCTTGCTCACTACTGCGACCTCCATGGCCCGACCCCCTTGATGGTCACTGAGGGTCTACCGGCCTCATGTACTGTCTGCTTTGAAGATGGTGCAGATCCTGCCGATAACAGACCACGATCCAGCGCGCATGCATCGTCGACTGCTCTCAACGACGCATTAAAGAACCTCGACCTATCTCGGAGCGCTTCAATGCCAGCTTCCGAACAAGAGGCTCAGGCACAACGTGCAGCACTATTGCGAAACTCTAGCAACTCTGGCGCAACCCCCACTGCTATCGATACTCCTCCTGAAAGTCCACGACCGGCCCCTCCTCATCCTCGACGCGATTCGAGTTTCCGAAGAACCTATGATGAGACTGTTACAAAGAAACAAGGCCCTTGCGATAACTGCGCAATGACCTTGCCGCGACAGCAAGCGGGATCAAATAGTGTTCATTTCGCAAACAATACTCGTGGACCAACATTGCGCACGCGTGCGCCAGCAGAGCGGGTTTTCGGCGCAGGAGGCCAGGCATCGCCTCCCAATTCGCAAACCTCGAGTGATACCGATGGGGAGCGGGACGAAGACCCTCGGGCTCGGCAAAGAATAACACCCTCGGTCAGCTCGCGCAATACCTCGCGATCAAGCAAGAGTGGTGGTACAGGTAATTCGACCGCAGCAGAACGGACACCCTTCCATGTTCACTACGTCGACTATACATCTACCCACGATCCGGTCCTACCCGACTCTTTCTCTCTTATTCGAGCGTCTTGCTTGCGCACTCTATCCTTCGAGACGTTACCCCGGGCTCCATCTACGGCAAACCCCACTTCACCCGTTGCGACCTCTTCCCCGGCCTTTGTTACTACACAAAGCGCCGGCTCGGCTGTCACAGGCGGCCCCATCTTTTTCGGCGACGCCCTCGCCGGTTACACGACGGCTTATATCTTCCGTATTCCTGATGTACACGCACGGGGTCATAAGCGAGTGTATGCCTTCTTGGCGCTTAGTACTCACCGAGAGCGCCTGGCCATGAAGACATTTGCCGTGGTCTCGACCGCTTTTCGCGAGCTCGCTACATGGATTCAGCAACTGGCTGAAGCCGAGGCCGAGCGAGCGGCCGAGAACTCTCCTATTGGTAGCAGCATCTACGGGGGTGGCTATGCACCACCACCACCAACTGTTGAATCCTCTGGAGGCCCTGATCGCAACGGAAGCAGCTTTCTGACAGGCGGTAGCGGGTTCACCCGACGGATGGGTGGTGGCCCTGGTGCCTCAGCCCCAAAAGCCCGTGGTCTAGCGGAGATTGTTGGACAGCCTGATATCTTTATCGAGCTGCACCGGCGTTTCGTTCACCTTCTCTTTGAAGTTGGTGTTACCTTGAGCTCGTAATGAGCTGTTTATGCCCATTGGCATGCTCTATACGTTTTTCTGCCTCGGCATACCACAAGGCAATCCCTAAGGATCAGGATGACTTCCACTACCCTGTCTTATCGGGATGATCTGGTCGCCGCAGACATACCCCAGCCTTACCAATGCTACTCTCCACGCCCTACCCAATGATACTGAACCGGTCAAAATCCGATTCGTCCTCGTTGGCTCGGCACTTTTTTGTCCTTTTTGGAGCAATAAGCGATGTATGATTTTACATACAAGCATACTTATCCGAGAGTGATGGTGATGGTAATGGCTAATGGTTAATACCTCAATGAAGCAACGATCTCGATCGACAGCTGCAGTCACTCAAGACCTACTGGTCTTTTCTACGTTTCCTTTTCACAATGCCCGAGGATTCTTGGCAACGCTGCTTACACCTTTCCGCAACACCGGGGAGATATACCCCAGCGACCGACTTGCCAAGAGCCTCGTGTAACTGTATTCTTACATGTATCGCCTTCGGAAGGGCTTTACGGCGCTGTCCTCGGCATATTTTTGACGGGCATTTGATTCCCATTTGGCTTTTGTAGCGTGTTTGTTATCTACTCATGTGTGCAGAGAACTCGTCAGGACGGGAACTCAAAGGAAGCGGGTGAAACAAAATAGACGGATAGCGAGTTGGGGAAACAAAAATGAAAAGATGGTCGGAATAATGGAGTTTTTGGCGAAGTAACTGTATTATACACTTCTTTACCTGTTATCACTTGTCAGAGCGAGATGAACAGCCAGGAGTTGGCATGGTTTTATTGATAGACTTGTACGGAACTTGGACAGGGAACTGTTCTGAAATGGAAAACTACGGTTATTTACGATGACCTTGAACTTCAACACACCCCATTGTTACGTGCTATGACCTTGCATGGCTGTCTGAAGTTCAAATGCCTAAGATAGAAAACTCGGAGTTCTCGCATGATGAGGATGAATAATTCGCCCCCGATTCAATTTATTGGGAACTTGGACCCCCAATCTCGATTACACATATCATTTACTGTTTATCGCCGCCGACTTTCAAAAGGACACATTGATGCAGGCAGAGTATCACCAATGTTACCTGTGCAGTCGTATCCCACTTTGTTGGCTGCAGTATCATGCTGTGACCGGAGAAGTTGCAGAAACATGTGATAGTCTGACATACAGGATGGTAAGATTCTTAAGATGTAACTCGAAGCATACATCGCGTAAATCAAATAGTTCACCGGTGTGGACCGAAGAGACTAATTCATATCGCTTGCGCCATTAGTCGGCACGTTGATTAATCCTAATCTACCTTTCGCTCTAATCCGCCTCCCTTCATATGGACTTTTCCTTCCATATCCCCTTGGCTTGATAGTTGACGACGTATGTAATACAGGATAGATAACACAAAAGAGTGCGTGAAATGATAGCAGACACCAAGTGGATCTATTTGTAGAAATCAAACTTGTTCTCTTCGCCGGTACCCTTGACCTGGCTTGAGTAGGCGTCCTCGAGATCACTCTGAATGATGTTGTAACGGTTCTTACGGACAGCACGGAGACCAGCCTCCTGCATGATCGCAGCGATGACAGCGCCAGACAGAGGGTCGTTTCGGACGATAAGGGAGTCGAGATCGACTTCGGGAGCCAGACTCATCTTGCCGGCGATGGTGGAGAAGATGAGACGTCGTTCACGGCGATCTCGCAGAGAGGGGAATTCGATCTTTCGGTCGAGACGTCCAGGTCGGAGAAGAGCAGGGTCAAGAGTATCGGCTCGGTTGGTGGCCATGATGACCTTGACGTTAGCAGTCTGATCGAAACCATCCATCTGGTTGAGAAGCTCGAGAAGAATACGTTGGACTTCTCGATCGGCACCGGTCTGGGCGTCGAATCGCTTGGTGGCGATGGCGTCGATTTCGTCGATGAAGATAATAGCGGGAGAATTCTCGCGAGCCATGCGGAAAACATCACGGACCATTCGGGGACCCTCACCGAGATACTTCTGAACGAATTCGGAACCGACAACTCGGATGAAGTTGGCGGTGGTTGAGTTGGCAACGGCCTTGACCAGCATAGTCTTGCCGGTACCAGGAGGGCCATAAAGCAGAACACCTCGGGGAGGGTCGATACCGATCTGCTTGTAGAGGTCAAAGTGTGTCAAGGGGAGCTCGACAGCTTCGCGGATCTCCTGCTTCTGCATGTCCAGACCACCGACATCGGCGTATGTCACATCGGGCTTCTCGTCGGCGCCAAGCATAGCAATGGAGGAGTCGGCCTCGGGGGGGAGAATATCGACAAGGGCGTTAGAATGTCGATGAAGGGCAACGGAGGAGGAAGCCTTGAGCTTCTCCCGGTCGAGGGTAGAGAGGATTCTGACGACATAGTTGGATCCGGTGCTGGACTGCACAATACCAGTACTTGAGATGCTGGTTAGCTCGCGTAGGGGTTGTCGGTTGTAGGTGAGCACATACTTTTGGTCAATAGCCTCCATAAACTGTCCTATAACTAATGGCACGCTCTGAATTCGCTTGATTTCTTCTTGAGCCCGTACAAGTTCACGCTTCAAACTCCTGCAAAGAATCAGCAAATTGTGTATGGAATCGGCACAGCATTGATGGAATACCTTTGCTCGTCCTTGATATACTCTTCTTGCAGCTGGATATACCTGTTCGAAAGCTATCAGTTCCCCGCCACGTTGCGATATCTGAGGTTGGAGTATCGTACTCTAGTTGCCTCTGAAGCTTCTTGAGGTTCGCGTAGTCGTCTCCTCCATCGGTTGATACACCCTCAAAGTTATCAATGGTGGGAATGGCTGAGTGCGCGGCCCTCTTGTGAGGTGCCACTTGGTTTGCTGGGTTTTCGACAGCGACGTCACCCATTTTTGCGCTTCTGTTGTGTGGGGAAGATAGGTGAAATGATCGTGAGAATGCGGTGTGGATAGAAATACGCGTCGAGCCTGGAAAGCGATTGTCGTCGGGAGATACAGCGCTTGGTTGTTGTTTCGGTCGTTGAGGGAGTGATGGAGCTGCTTCGAGATGATGCCAGGCGCCAGCAACGACGACGACACTGGAAGCTAAGGTAAGCTAGCGCGGCTTCACATCTTAGTCATCTGTATCGAGCTTGATTCACGTGATCTGTCTACGTCGAAGAGTAACAGCAGTGAGGGTCCGGACTGGAAAACTTTGATTGGCTCATGATTCTCCCTCCCAGGCAGGGCGAAGTGGGGTTGCAAGCTTGCACCAACTGCAAGGCTCCAAGGCTCCAACGGCCCCAGTGCGAGCTCCAGTGAATCAGATTGGCCGATTATCGGGGGGATCTGCCTCCACACAAGACCAAAGACGTGGGGACCCTGAAGGGGACGTTTCTAGCTTGGTACATGAGAGCTACAGTGGATGAAGAGCCTCTGTACTTTTGACACTTGACCCTTCTGAGGCTGTATAAGCTGGAGAATGTCCTATTAGTGGCGTTGGCTTGAATCAGTCTAAATGTTGATAGATGGCGGGTTTTGCGGTGAGAATAGGCTCATGACCCTGTTGATAAGCCTGCCCCGCGATATTCGGTGAGATGATGCAAGGTGAACCGTGAAGCGTTTATACAGTATTTACAGTATTGAGTATTATTATTGGTAGTTGTTACTGAGGAGCTGCTCGCTTGTTTATACAGTACATGTATCTTTATGGATCGTTTCATGTAAACTCAAGTACCTGGCTGGATTGTGGCTTATCAGCGTCGGCTCACTCGCCTGTTCACGGGATGATGCGGCGGTGATTCACTGGTCGGCGGCCGAGGAGCAAGGTAAGGTAATCGACAAGTCACCTCACTCACTGTACCTCTTTGAAACCACCTTCTACCTTCTGACTTGTTCAACCTCCAACCAAACTCAACCTCTTTGTCTTTTTTCTCTTTTTTCGATCGCCTTCCTCGCCCAAGCCAACCTCACGTCTCTTATCACCTTAATCTATACTTTACTGCTCGACGTCTTCTGTTGCGTCATTCTACGGATACTGCTGCCATCTCCTCCCCAAACGCCATCATCTTCCCTCCCTGCCGTGCCGTTTACGACTGGGCCAACCGGTCGTCACACACACAATACCCCTCGCTTCATCTTGGGTTGCTTGTTTGTCTCTGCCTAGATACTCTAGCAACCTCAACATCGCACATACAATGTCGTCCTCTATCGCCATTCCCGCTGGCCCCTCGGCTACCCGCCCATTCCATAAGGGCACCGGCTCTTCTACAAACAGCCCGTTTGGCACTCCTTCGTCTTCTCCTCCGTCAGCCGGCAAGGACAAGGCCCTGCACAACCGCCGCCCGAGCCTCCTGAGTAAGTGAAGCTGGATCCCCCACCTCACACGATTGCAGCGGCAATGATACGATCGTCTTATCATGCATCCACAGCGGTTCTTCCACCATACTGACGTGACTTGTCTTTGTAGGCTCTTCACTCTCCAAGCAAGAATGCACCGTCATTAACGTCGGCGATCCGGAAGGCACTCCTCGACTGGTAAGTGTCTCGACAATATTATACTTGGTTTCAGGTGTACTGACTTTCTATAGATCTCCTACCTCTCCTCCAGCCAGGGTTTCGCCTGGAATCCTGGTATGTTTCACTTGTATCATGAATAGCCTCTCCCCGAGTAACAACTGACAACTGGCAGAAATCTTTCTCCCGTCTTATATCGACTGCGACTATGTTCCCCTGGAGAACCGCCGGGACCCAGTCCACGAGATCATTCTGACCGACGACGAGTCCAAGAACCTGCTACCTCATTAAACCGCCTGGCATTTTATCGCATACAAAGACCAGGCCACGATAGACATTTCCTTCTCACGAGATTCCCGATTCCACGACAGGCCTTCTATTATTCAGTTATTGTTTTTACGGCGTTACGATTCCCGCGGCTTTTTACTTTCCTTTCCTTTCAGTCAGGCAAGACACGACACTTGTTTTAGGCCTGTCAACGTATGGGCATTGTTCGGTGGAGTATGATTTCGGGACAGGGTCCCTGGTCAATCGGCTTGACAGCCTCACTTTTAGGTTTTGGCTTTGGCGGAGTAGACAAGACATGGCAGAGCATCCATCACCTCAGCGTCCGGCACATTCGGTATCGATCTTGGGAATTGGATTGGGGAACGCCTGGATTCGCGGGCTAAAAGGAAGAGGTTATTTTCACTTCTTGGGGTCTTGAGACCAAACTGTTTCGTTCTTTTTCCTCACTAATGTTGCGGCTGGACTATTTTGTTCTTGAGGGATGGTGGCGTCGAGGTAGGACGGTGTTTCTTTGTTTGTAACTCTCCTCAATTCACATGACTTAACTTGATCATCAATCAAATGACACCTGCGATGTTGATCGCTCCCCGCTGGCGCCAATCACCGACGGCCGAGATGAGCCGGCCCTCTACCGAGAATCCGCCCGGACCGGAGCTAACAGTACGGGGCCGGTCGGGGAACCTTGATGTCATTCAAACCCGAGAAGCAACCCTAAGTTCCGTCTTGGGCATTGGACGACGTCAGATTGACAGAGATCAAGTCTCATTATCGCACGGATTATGTTGGATTGCATTACGCCATGAGCCTTTACACCAACGTTTGAAGGACCACGGCCACGAGTCTATTACCGATTATCGTTTTCCGACAACGATTAACTTTGTTTCCATACCAGCCAGTACCCGGTATCTGACTCAACCAACATCGCTAAGAGCGCCATGGTGCAAACATTATCCTCACAGCACTTTCGCATCTTGGGCAGCAACTGATGTCTCAATCGATAATGAGGCCTGCAATTTCGAGTGGCCTCGTTCTTAGGGGTCCACCTTTTACACCACAGTCGGTGAGACCTCAATAACGATGCCTGAGAACGCGTCTGAGTATCATCATGAGCACAGTTTGCGAGTCTCTCGAGCACATACGTCCATAGCTCGTAGAAAATATGGGATCCCGCCAAGTTCTTCCATTCCGCGCAAGACATAGCCTCTGATTTGAGAGACTCGGAGGTCTAGGACAAGGGGGTACTTGAGTCCCCACCTATTATAGTTATGATCTAAGGTAGTTCGTGTCTGCTCGGCCTATAAGACAGCTGTTGGTCGGCTACCAACAAAAATAATTACATCTGTCTTGGCAACCACGTATGTCTGAATACTAGCTTTCTAGACCTGGACATATTTGAGCTTCTGGAGCGCTTGAACAGTGTCTTCGAGCTGGAACATCTTTTCCAGGAGAAAAACCATAACCGTTGAGCCATCTGGGCGAGAACCTACTGTACCTTGGCGATGTCTTCAGGTACCACCCAAGTACAAGATCTCTAACACGACCCAAAACAAAATCCAACAGAGAAAAAGACTTTGCTCAAGTGAGCAAAACGTGAGGCCGTCACCGGACACTCTGACTGCCGCCCTTTTCACCAACTCCACGTGAACAGTCTCCCTCAGATATGGATCTTGTATCCCAGTGTTATTAGCACATAGCTCTCAGCTCGTAACAAGTGGCTAGAACGATGATGATAACTGATCCCTTTCGTATGGGATTAAGGAACCTGAGTTCTTAGAATTATATATAAGTTCATCCTATTCTACGGCCGTAAGAGCAAGAGCATGAGTCAAGTGGACTGTACCTGCTGATCGGCTTTTATTGAGATGCATCTTGAGGTGCAAAAGACAAACCCTCCATATATTCTGCATTCGGTTACTCTCTACCACACACGACCAAAGGGAAGGTAGTGGACAAGACGGGACTCCGTCTGTTCTCTCATAAGGTCGCCCAATGAGTTCTCCTCCGTCTGCAAGCTCCCCCTGCCCTCTCTGGGAACTGCTTTGCCAAACCTCGACCTCGGCCTCATCGACACTTTCTTGTATACTGTCTGGATATTCTCTCTGTGTGTATCATAAGTAGAGGTATCTTTCTTGCCTTCAGTCTCTGTTTTGTTCATTAACATCTGTCAAGTTCGTTCAGGGGTTTCCATTCCTTAACCTGTTCGTTACGCTGGATAAAAGAAGCATCCTACCTCGGGCTTATGGACCCCCAATAGCTCCATGGGTTATCTTGTTGTTGCTATTCAAGTCATAGACGAGCTATGCCGATATACGGTATAAAAGTTACCGCATTTACAGGCTCTCAAGCTGAAGATGGACTCCCTCGAACTTTGCCACCTCGATCCATATGTCAAGAGGCCTGGGGAGTCTTTTAGTTTGATACACATGAACGCTGCCTCACATCACCGACAGGATAGTTGTATAGATTTCGAAGTTCAAAGCCTGAGCTCTATGGAGCCTCTATCCTACCCAACTCGCCCTTGAATCCACCATACCATGTATCAGGGGGTCTTCACCTCGTCAGCCTCTTTACGTCCCTGCAATAAACTCAATTGAACCCAACTTGGGCAGCTGCCCACATCCCAAGCATCGACTTGAAGCTCATAAATCAAAAGGTCCTCAAGGGAAGTTGGCATCTTCCGGAGAACAGCTGAAAATACAGTCTCTGGAACTCTGGCAGACTGTTTTACAGCACGGTCTGTATGTGCAACAAAAGACTTCTTATACTGTGCACAAGCTCGGAATAGCGCGCTCTTGCGAGGTTCATCGATGTCGTTGCTAGGCTGCGAAAGTTCTCGAATAGTGCATGAAGCATCGTCGGCCGATATCATAATGTCGATCCGAAAGAGTGAGGACTGAGAGCCATATGAACAGGAAACCCAGAGAGCTTTGAATGGGGATTCATGTATCGGAATTCCTTGTTTCATCCAGTTGTCGTTTGGATAAGACAAGACGATATCTAGGGAGCGTGTAGTTGTCGATGAGACTTGTGTCAAGATCTGCAATTGCTTTGACGAAAACATTGAAGTCGGGGGATTCATGCCAAAGTTATTTGAACCTGTGAAGTAGCCACTGGGTCGAATGAATAGCTCCGTAGCTCTAAAATACGGGAGCAGTGTCTTGGGCACACCGATAAGTAAAGACGATTTAACTCTGCAATAAACCCGTCGTCGCGCCGACTCATAGTCACGTTCTATTAGGACACAGACAAGACTGTCCTCTGTCTCGTATGATAGCCACGCAACTGGGGCCAAGTGAAGATCAGTAGGGAACAGAACATGCAGATTGATACGCAAACCGCGACTTGTGAACTCGGGAGGACTCGGGGGGACTGACTGCATTGCAACGATGCTATTGTGGCCTCGAAACATGCGGTGGTATTCCTTGTCGTGCAGGACTCGATATTCGATGCTCTGTTTTTCCGCATCAAGCTCAGAAGGGGGAGGAAATGCATGGCCATGATCGATCATCTTCTGGCCCTGCGTGTGCTTTGAAGCTCGAGCACGTAGAGAATTCTTGGAGAATTGCGAGGGTGACCAAGCCAGAAACCCAGTAGAAGAGGTTTCGGCATCGGCTATTGGGTTATCTTGCTGGAGAGTCCATGCAAACATGCTATAGTCCTCTTCTTGTCTGAGAATCTGCTCCTGAAGTCGGATAAATGACTTGGCTCCTTCGCCATAGAGAAGTGGCATGTTGACATCGAATAAGCCCAATAAACAGTAGGCTAGGTCTTCCTCTCTGGTTGTGGTTCGAGCCGATGCCCACGACATTCGCTCGGCGACGCTGTATGTCGAAGGATGGGAACCACGTAGTACAGTGATTGGGATGCCAGTAACACTTTCTATACTTGAAGCGAGACTCTTTTTTGTACCGATCACGGTCCATTCTTTGGAACAGAGCTCGACGGTTTGAGGCGCGATTAGTTCCTGAAGTGTCCAACCTCTTGTGAACCATCTGCTTTTGCCGAACTCGGTGATGTGAAAGACTTGCGCGACAGTAGAAGTCTCCGTCGTGACATCTTCTAAATAAGAATAGCAGACGGTCGCTTTTTGATACCATTTGTACATGGAATTAATTGCCTCGGATAGCTCAGCGCTACTGGACTTGTCAATACAGCAAGTGTCAATCCACACCCAGTCGAAGCCATCTTGAGCTGCCTTTCTGCAACAACCGATAAGTTTAGGGTAGCCTTGTTTTGAGTGAGCAGTCAAAGTGCCAATGTCGCTGTAGAGGACCTCTTCATCGGTCCATGTGTGACTGAGAATTGCGTAGGGAGGGATTTGTCCGATGAAGTCTTTCAGCTGGAGAGTTGAGACATTTAATAGACGCATGGTATCAACTCATAGAGCAGTAGTGGTAGGGATATTTTAGGTGCTTGAGAGTTTGGGATGATATAATCACGCTGATGGACAGACTACACTCTGGCGTTACTGTTCATCAATCGTCGTTACTTGAGTGAGTTGTGCCGAGACACGGCTAGAAGAGATGCTTACGGGTAAGACAAATTGAGCTACAATTGGCTAGTTTTGAGTCAGGCTGCGACATAACTCAACTCAAATCAACATAATTCACGAGAGGTCATCACAACGTAACAATGCAAGGCAAAGCATGTAGCTCAGATGAACTGTATAGTATTAAGGTCTATGCACCTCTATCAAGAGATCTATGTGCAAGTTGTAGAAAAGAATTATATACCCAACGCTTCCATCCTTAGTTCATCATTTGTGAAATTAATCATTAAAGACCAATGCTTTTCCCTTGTCGTCCAAACTCATTACGAGATATATCCGTGACATGTAGAGCAGAGGTGTTGGGTTGCTTAGAAGAGAGCAATGGCACCGAGGACGGCGAGAACGCCGGCAGGGGCGATGCGACCGGCAGCAGCGGTGACAACGGCAGGCTGAGTACCCTCAGGGACGGGGTAGGTAGCGGTAGGGTTGACGGGGACGGGCTCAGCGCCGGTGGGCTTGCCGGGGACAGCGGGAGCAGTGGGGTGAGGACCCTCGGGCTTACCGGGCTTGCCAGGCTTGCCGGGAGTGGGCTGAGGGTAGGGGTGCTCGGAAGCAGGGTGAGTGGTGGTGAAGTGGCAGTCGGTGACGGTGACGGTTCCGGGAGCGGTGACAGTGACGGTCTTGTTGCCGTAGGTCAGAGTGGTGGGCTCAGGGCAGTAGGTAGTCACGGCGGTGATGACCTCAGTGGTGTAGACGGGGTGAGGGACAACGGGCTTGGTGGGCTTGACGGGGTAGCTGACTGTGCAGGGGCAGTCGGTGATGGTCAAGGTGGTCTCAGAGGTGACGGTGTAGGTCTTGTCACCGTAGGTGAGAGTGGTAGCACCAGGGCAGTAGGTTGTGATGGCGGTGACAACCTCGGTGGTGTAGTGAGTAGCGTTGGAGGGAGGGGCGTAGTAGGGAGAAGCGGTGGCAGCTCCGATGAGGAGGCCAGCAGCAGCAACCTTGATAGCAACCATTTTGAAGGATATTGAGATGATTTAAGTTCTGACTTGTTAAAACGAGTGAAGTGCAGAAAAGCAAGATTAAGCTTTGAGCGAGAGTGTAACGACTGAAGCGAGTGTAGTTGTTGGGAAAAAGAAGAAGTGAGGGAAAAGGTGGAAGAGAATGAGGGTATTTATCTTGAGCTCAACACCAAGTTGAGTCAAGCTGAGCTGAACCAAACTGGGCTGATAGATACGGAAACCCAGGTCCCAGAGACACACACAAACTCAAAAGGCGTCTAGTTTAGTCTAGTCTAACCAGATTCTGAAAGTCCATTTAGCCTTGTACACACATCGAGATGGCCTGTGAGTGGATTCACTGCACAAGCTCACGCTAGACGAGGCAATTTTTACCTCTCTTTACCCTCCTTTTACCGTGGCTAGGGCGTAGCTCGTCCAATCATGATATCATTGAAGCCATCTTACTTCTTACTCATACTGTACCTTGCACTAGCTAGACTCGTTGGGCTGAGGAGGTGCAGGGTACAGGGGCCCTTGTCTTGGAATACGAGGTCAGGGGAGGGATTTTATGACAGATTCGGATCTTGGTGAGAAACCTCATGATAAGGAAATGTCCGGGGTAGGCAAAAGCGATTGGTCTGACTTTGAGTGTGCTGTTGCAATGCAGGGTCTTTGTGATTGCCAGTTGTCACAGTTGCAGTGGGAAAACCACTCTATCTATCGTAGGGCAAACTCTATACTCATCGGTTGCAACGGTGGCAGTTGCAACAGCACAGCACGGCACGGTTATCAACTGTTGTTCAGTGGATGATCCGATCTAGAGGGGCCGAGTTAGCCGGAGTCTTTAGAGTCTTAGGTGAGCTGGGTACCTGCGCTAGTACCCACATAGCACCTAGCTCCGTAGTCCGGGGAACTTTGTTTACTCACTTTTTAGTCACTAAATTCTCCTCCCAAAAAAAAACAAAAAAAGCCTGTTTTCTCTCTTATATTTTTCACCTCCAATCACCGACAACGGCCCCTGCAGTCAGCATCAAGCTAATGCGGCGCTGCAGCCTCTATCACACTCTGCCCCAAATGCCCCAATCACAAAAGGTCGTCATCTTTTAGTGCGAGTCAATTCGTCCATGTTGGCTGTTCCAGTGTTCCTTGGTTTTTAGTCTCCATAGCAAAAAGGTCTTATCTCATCAAGTTTTTTAAGCTTCAACCAATTAAGACACCAAAATAGATTACCCCCTGTTTAGTGACAAACCAACCCCCCCTGCCCCTTGCATTCTGCGGGCTGCATTTTGCATTTACCAGAGCAAATCATGACCCCAGAGTCAGCAAAATCAGTTCATCCGTTGTTGGTTGTTCCGTTCGTAACAGGAAATTGCACGCAATGCTTGCCAGTTTTCGTACGGCGGCGGTTCCGTTCCCTTACGTCGATGGACTGTCTCTAGATCAATGGCATTGTAAGCTTGTCTTAGACACTTAATCTCCTATGCACAGCTCGTCAGCTCTAATTAAAAGAGATCGCGCTGTGGCTTGTCGCGGAAGCCGAGGAAATCTAAACACATCCGATCTAATTAAAGCTGAACTGAACCGAGACTCTCTGCAAGGCTCGATTGAGGTTTGCACCCCTACATTCCTTATCAATGTGAAGGAACTTGAGAAGGAATAAGATCAGATCATCCTGGTTGTAAATCCCCTCGCTTGCAGTCAGCTCCAGTTTACTCCATAGAAGACGTCAGCAAAAGTCAGCATTGCTTGACTTAGGCCAAAGTCCCAAAAATATCCCCATACGCGAAATTACCATCAAGCCACCCTCATCTTGGGTCTTCAGCCTCTCCGTTGCAATAACAACGTCTTTCCAAAATCCAACGTTTCATGGCGGGTTTCATGGCGACATTTCGCAGAAGTGGCTGAGACCCGTCTAATAGATACTAATATTTGGCTGAAACAACGGCTGAGGACTCCTATTGTCTGGTCTGCCACTTGTTCCAGCCCCAAATCACCTGTCTCACTCAACTTCTGGTCTATTGGCTGTCCAGTCATTAGCGAAGCGGGTGGCGCCGCCAAAGGGAGAGACCATTGTTTGGTCTAGGCTGTTCGAGACTGTGAGATGATTCATTGCTTCTTTCATCGTGAGATTGGATGAGATATGAATATTAGATGAAAGATGAGATATGTAAGTTTGCATAAATCGTTGGGTCAGTGTATTTTGGACAAGATGGTGTTTATCATGAGCTACGACGCTTGTAACTACATCGTAAGTTACCATCTATCTCACCGTTTCGATACAAAGGAATGCGGTTATCTAGCCCGCCCTTTAGGTAGTGTTATCTAAAACCATGCTTATAACGGCTAGAAGACGCTACTTGCCTTCTAAGAAGTCCATCGGAATGATCATCGTGACCAGGAAAAAGCTACATTGCTCTAGCTCTTCCAGGAAAGCCGTCTTGTCATGTGATGCATTTATGCTTTTGTATTCTTTCTAGCAGCACTTGCGTTCTTGTAGGGTAGCCTTATCATATCTATAAGCTTACCTTACTCCTTGGATTGAATCCTGTATTCATTGTCACCTCGTATCAGCCTAGGATTATTCCGTGACTTGCAATTACTCACACTCATCCAATCTTAGTCAGGCCATATCTGGCTTTATACAAGCTCAGTCCAATCATGGATTGCGTGCAGCGTGACTCATTATATACTCTACCGACTTCAGAGCATTTAGCTACCTACCTAGATCATAAACCCCAATCACATTCAACACAGAGTCAAAAAGGCAAACATACAAACAAACATCCATACAAACTATTGCCTAAACACTACAGCCTTGCCTAGAAAAATGAACAGCTTCCGGAATGACACGCCTGGTAGAGTTACAGCCATGCTGACCTCCCACCTTCTTCCTCGCCAGCATATAAGGTAAGGGAAGAGTCAGTTTGCCTCTGTACGTTATAGATCGAAATCGCCTGAGATCTGAGGCTGGACCTTACACTGGCTGGCACTGACTGACACTGCAGGAAGCCCTTGAAGATGAAGGTTTCCGAATGTACCTTCTGCCTAGATCACAAAGAAGTTTAAATTTAAATTCACAAACTTGAAAAATATTTTAGCAGCCTCGATACCCACAAAGTGATTCTTCCTCTTCCATCCTTCTTTTCTTTTGACTGTTGAAGGGGATCATGGACCACCGCTTGTCCACGATGCCTTCTTCTAGGAAGAAGCCCTCGCGCTTTCGACCAAGGCCAAAAAGATCTTCCAGTCCATGACAAGTCCATTTCGAAAGAACGATCGCGTCAAAAGTGAACCTACTACAACTCCTGTGGTAGACCAACATTTGGAACATGGTATTCGCGAGGACCTGGGTATCAACAAAAAGACAGTTATTCAGCATCAAGAACAAACCCCACCCGCTAGCAGTGATTGTGCGTCTAGCACGCTGCTGTCCGAACAAGAGTCTGATGGCTCTTCTGAGTTCGAGCTTTATTTCGATGCACAAGAAACCATTCTCGACCCTGCTGATCAGGCCGTGGTTCATGACGACGAAATCGAAGGCGTGAGCAGTTTGTTCACTCAACAAAATCAAACCAACACCACCGATAGAGCAAAGGAAAACGAGGTAGTGTGCCCAATAAGCCACGGTATTTATTCCATACTCATGACCTGCAGATGACCAACAACGATATGAGGCTCGACCAGCAGCAGCAACACGATGCTCACTTAACCCTACAAACCCTCTCGCCAGAATTGATAATCGAGATCATGCTATTTCTTCCACACAGCAGCCTATATCTCCTTCAACAGACCTGTCAAAAGTTCCGTCAGCTCTCAAAGCGAGATACATTCAAGCCGTTCAACCTCGAGTTTCGCGACGGACCAGAGAGCTATTGTATCAGTGAGAGTGGCTACCAACAACGGAAGGCCATTCGGGACATCCTTGCTCGCAGGGCTCTTTGTCAAGAATGCAACGCCTACCGCGATTCAGGCAACTTGCAGAAAGCAATGCAAAAGCTCTACGAGCTGCGATACTGTCACGGATGTAAAACCAACCATCCTGAGCTGTTCTTCTCCCCCGAAGAGAAGGAGAAACAGCATACACAGTGCTTGGGTCGAATCGGAAACCTCCATCTTTGCTCGCACGAGTCTTTTGCAGGACCAGATATGGTGACTCTGGCCAATGTCGGTGGAAAGGCTAGAAGGTTCGAGTGTGATGACTTGAGCCACGTATTATCACGTCGCTTTTCTGATGACGGCAATATTCCTAGCGGTTTTCTCTGCAATTCAATCAATTGGAACGGTGGCCCCATGAAGCACTCCCTGCGTTTCAACCTCAGCGCAACCCTTCGCCTCGTCGTTCTCAATGGATGTTCGAACAAAGATACAAAAGAAGCCGTTCGACAATTAAAGAATGGCTCCTACACTGTGAGCGACACAAGAGCTCTCTGCAAACATTTCTCTAGCGAGCTCCTGGATGAGTGTCTTGCGTCTGACTCATCTAAGTGCTCCTGTTTCCCACGATCAGAGGCAGGGGGCAAATGCGGGCTTTTTGACACTATACCCAGCGCAACCTGCAAAATTTGCAGAGCGGAGTATCATCTGAGTCTGAAACAAAGTAGCACTGCCCTTGGAGGCTCGAACCAACAGACACTTATAGATCTCGGGATTACCAGAAATTTTCGCATGGAAAACTTCCTCCACCCTATGTGGCTTTTCAATCTCAACTACAACCAGGACAAGGAGTGCGACTCACGACTCAAAAGAAACCCTCTCCTGGGCGAAGAGATGAAACACGTGCTGTGGTGCGACAACCCTGGTTGTGTGACGGGATCAGAACGTCGATGGGAGAGAATGGCTCTGTTATATTTGAACAATGCCTTTAATAGGGGGGAGCTGCGTGATGGCCGTTACGGAGACGAGGGTCAGGCTAGAGATATGGGTTGGCTGTCGCTTGAGTACGACGTCTTCAACGGCTCGACAACCTGACCGAGATTTAACTCTTGCGGATCTTGAAATGAGAAGAGGAAAGAATGAAGAAAGGGAGGAAGGAAGGAAAAAGAAAACAGACAAATTCCCAACCCCATCACCGAAGAAAGGAAGAAAGACCCCATTGAAACCCAACACACACAGAGCACACCACACGCAACCCCCCAATTTGATACACCTCAAGACCTCCTTGCATTTGAACGCCTAGGCACTTGGGACAGCCATAGACTGAAATCTGGCTGACTATTGTTGAGATGGCAATAGCTAGGATACTGCCCAAAAGCTTCAGATAGATAAGTAGTTGAAGATGCAATAAGAGATTTGAGCATCAAAAAGCTTGTGCATGATCCAGTGATACGAGAAAAGAGACGAATTTGCTTTGATAGTTTGCTAGATATGGAAAGTTAAGTAGAGATTGTGAGAATTGATATGCAAAATCCTACACTTCTTTTTCAGTATGATTTCAGTAACGAGAGTAGAAATGACAAAATTCAAGACTTACTCGCCTTTTCTTTGTGTCGGGGATAGATCTAAGCTCCGACCCATATGATGAGCTGTATGTACTCCGTAGGGCGCGGCCAACCTCGTGAGATAATAGTCTCCCCGCATCCTCGTAGCCTTTGATTTCTAATACACACAACTACCAGAATCTCACCAAGCAACTAAACAGCAACCTCACTTCAGTCACAAAAACAGTCATGGCACCTCATATCGAAGCTGTTTCTACCAAATCTGCCCCGGCTCCGCTGCCGCAGTTCTCACAGGCCGTCAAGCACAATGGAATGGTGTACTGCTCCGGAAACATTGGAGCCATTCCTGGGACAAATTTTGAGCTGGTAGAGGGAACTGTTAAGGATAGAGCGGTAGGTCTCTGGATAGGTGATAGCGTTGCGATGTGTGATGACTGACCATATGACTACAGCGACAAGCTATCAAGAACCTTGAAGCTATCCTCAAAGATTCCGGCAGCAGCCTGAGAAACATCGTCAAGATGAACATCTACATCACAAATATGCAAAATTTTGCTCTTGTAAATGAAGCATATGATGAGTTCTTTACTTGGGAGCCCAAGCCAGCATGTGAAATTCCAACTAATTTGCAGCACAATCACTGACATTTCTTCAGGCTAGAACTTGTGTAGCAGTCTTTCAGTTGCCATTGGGAACTGATGTTGAGATTGAGTGCACTGCCGCCCTCGACTAGGCAAAAGATAGATTTATAGTAACGAAATTCTGAATAAATGCACTAGAATAGGTTGCTTGATCTGATCACTTCCGACCTTTTCACCACACTCAACGGTCCGCATAAATGCTCTTGCCCTTGCCTTGCACCACTTCATCCACATAGTCCACATACTTGATCGGCTCAAAGTTGGGATAGAGGTCTTTGGTGCTGAGATAGCCCAGATACTTGGCAGGCTCGGGGAGATTGTCCTGACGGAACCACTCGCAGTAGAGGTACTGAGGACCAGCAAGCCCAAAGATGAAGGGAAGACTCTTGTCACTCGCATCGTACTTGACCTGAGCGTCGGCAATGGTGGCCTCGATATCTTTGGTTGGCATCTATTCCTGTTAGTTATTATATTTCGTGTATGCCAATGAAATGTAGACTTACCAAGTTGCGCGGAATCTTCTCACCGCTGACCTTCTCGAGGTGGCTGTGGATTTCCTCCTGAGTCCAGACCTCGTTATAGGCAAAGACGTATTTGTTCAAGGTTCGCTCATCGGTGATAATCTTGGCAACGTATTTTCCAACGTCTCTCAGGTCTGTCACGCTTGTAGCGTGAGAGCCATCCTCAGCGACGACGGTGGCGGGAAATTTGAGCGCATAGTCAATCTTGCCAGAAGGCAGAGGAGGAAGAGAGACCTGATACCACAAACCGACATCGATGATGGTGTAGGGGAGATAGACTTTCTTGACATGGTTGATAATGTTTTCTTTCTGTAAAACTGTTAGACATATGAAGGGGAGATATTTGAGCCACTTACCAGTTCCCTAAGCAACATGACACCTGCGGGAGGACAGGGCGGACCAAAAGCACTAGGGACAAATCGTTTGATTCCAGCTTCTTTGGCAGCAGTTGCCAAAGCGATTTCAGGCCCTGTAGTGAAAGGCACAAGACAGCTGATGACCACATCTTGACCAGCGAGAGCCTTGACAAGTCCTTCGTGGTTGCTTTCAAGGTTGATAGGGACCACGGAAACGCCCTTGTTCTTGATTTGCCCAACTTCAAGTTTGTTGATGGAAGCAGGTCGCACAAATGCAGTCAATTTCTATGAAGATCAGCATCAAAGGGTTTGAGGAGTATGGATTGCAGCTTACAAACTCATTTGAAGAGGACGACAGAGCATCGATGATGGACAAACCGGCCTCGCCAGTTGCGCCGACAATTGTAACGTTCATGATGGATGATAGAGGATTGATTGTTGTGAATGAATAGAAGTAAGAGTGTGTTGATTAAAAGGTTAGTTGTGTCTTGAGGCTATATATGCTCATCTTGAAGGTAAACAAGAAGAGCCTCCTCCGTGGTTTCATTACAAATTGTTGTTCCATTGCAAAGCATACCATTTTGAGGCTTTGTAAGTCATCGTCGGATCTTGCTCCGCCGAAATCTCGGCGGTTGGGTTTCCCATCAGTAGCCCCACTTTCTGTATTGACATGTAGCTGTAAGGTTTAGCCGCTAATGGCAACTAACAAATAGTGAGATAAACTACTCCATGCGATGTTAAGTAATGTTATCGATCCAACATCATCAAATGTACCCATCCATCTTGAAAGGTATCTGCATGGAATGCAAGTCGATCCCTATGAATATGACAAACCACGATCTAAAATGCTGTAGAGAACAATCGGAAAAGACTGTACTATCAGGCTGAATGCATGGGATCGATGATTGCTGCAGGTAAACGAGAGAAGGCCATAGAGGAGGCATTTGCCATTGGACAAGTAGCAAAGGTTGGGTTTGCCTGCGCTTTTGTAGGCAAATGCTTGGCTGTAGCAAAGAGAAGTTTCCTACAGTATGAAGTAGATAATTGGCCATGCCAGCCGTAGGTAGAAGCTCAAAGAAAAGCTACTGGCAAACAGCAAGAATAGATTAGAGGACAATCATATTTGAGAAACATATAAAGCTGTAGAACTTCCTTCCGAGATAGCTTCTCCAAAGTCAACTTTCTCTGATATTCAACCGTGTTGTCAGATTATCCAAGCCCTTGACCAACCCGATAAATCAAGTCATATCAAATCTCCTGATACAACACAACACTCTTCACTTATCGACATCCGAAATGGCAGCCATCGATAATCTCGAGCAAGCCGTACGCTTGAAGGAGCTCGTTGAGAGTAAGTTTAACCTTATGGCCAGCAAGTATTTACATAGCTGACCTGCCAGTGAACCTCGAGGCTCTCTACGCCAGTCTACCAAACACCAAGCTTTTCGTCTGTAAACGTGGCGAGTTGTATGTTGCCGCCGTGGCCACGCCCCACACTTGCGGGCATGGGAGTGTCCTGTTGAAAAGCATCGAACGTTCGACCGCCGAAGGTGCTTTGGAGTCACTTCTGGAGGAGACCGCGAAAGAACTCACTAAGGAGATGAACTTCTGATGGCCTCGATGGAGTTTGGGTTGGAGGGATCTAGACTGGACTGCATAGAGGAACTGTGGCTGCTGTGATGGGGTTTTTGACAAGTGCAGTCGAGCACGGAGTTGTCTCAAATTGCATGGATCCTAGAACTGGAACTACAGACACACGCAATATCGGTAGACTTTTGTATCCGTCAGAACTATCAATCAATGAAAGGGCATGTTCTGTCTCCTGTCATACTCACATAATGCCATGCACATATGAGTCATGATATCGCTAGTTGGCCTGCACTCCCAAGCGTGAAATCTGGTTTGACAACCACAAACCTCTCTATTCCCTCTTGGAAACTGACCCATCACATAGCATAAGAAAAACGAACTGCCAGGGCTTAGAGAATATCATAGCAACATACAGATTTCAATGCATTCAACACGAACTTGGAGAAACAGAAATCTGGCAGTCTGCCATTTCGGTAGTCCCTGTCAAGGCTCAGTGCAGATATATATGGTCTGGCACAGCACACAGATACCACCGCTTCTCGGCCTAAACACTTTGCAATCGGTATCAAGTAACAGACAGACTGTAGCCGCCGCGCGCTGTGCTTAGCAATCAACCATGTCGCATCCAAGTTCCGCACTGTCTCTAACGCGCGGTAGATCTTGTGCGTCGTGTAAGACGATTGGGTGTAGCTCCTTGCCCTTTTGATATCCGTTGATCGTGAAACAAGTCGATTAAGTTGCAGCCACGATCTGTTACTTTCCTGCCATCAAGATCTGTCTGTTTCTTTGAGGGGATTTGTTAAGATTGAGGTCGTTTGTTGAGACTAAAGGACCTTGATGGTTCAACCCGCGCGGGTAACTCCACTTTGGGATCGAGCCTCATCATGAGCTTATTCTTACCGCGCGGAGACCTTTTTCGGCCGTGGGCTTATGCGGATTATGACACGTCTTGGAATAAGCCCATATTAGTAATTCTCGGACAACACCCAGTAAAGAGACCTGCGGTGTTAACGTTATCGATGGCTTGCACCAAATATAGGATATTCAAGAATACGATGCCAAATATGAGGGCGTAAGATGGAGCATATAACAAGATAAAAGGTCAATAATTCCAGTTCTTCATGAAAACAACAAGACACTACAAGCTATAATCATGGCCAGCATTAAATACTTTCTCATCGCAGGCGCAACTGGTCGTCAAGGCGGCGCAACAGTCGATGCCCTCCTCACTCATCCCGATATCAAAATCAGACCAAAGCAAGTCTACGCACTTACTCGACAAGCTTCTGGACCAGGAGCCGTCAAACTCCGTGAGAAGTATGGCGACATCAATATTGTTGCTGGCGACTTAAATAACCCCGAATTAATTCTCCAACAGCTGGACAAGGCCATCCTTCCCAAAACTGGAATCTTCCTCGCTCAAGCCCATGGACCAACTGAAGTCACCGATGCAGAGGAGCTCATCGATGCTGCTACGAGGAATGGTATTCCGTATTTTGTGTACTCTTCTGTTGATCGAGGGGGCCGTGAACTCAGCGATAAGGATCCTTCGTACTGCAAGACATTCTCCGACAAATTCCTCATCGAGAAACATCTTATCAACGCCTGCTCTAATTCAGAGATGAAATACACGATCCTTCGTCCGACTTGGTTCGCTGATAATGCTTGGTGGGGTTTTCCAGGGCAACTCTGCATGACGGGTTGGAGAGAGAACATGAGGGGAAAGAAGATGCAAGTCACCGTAACGAAAGATATTGGAAGATGGGCTGTCGAAGCTCTTGTCCGTCCTGATAGGGCCGGAATTCGAAACCAAGCTCTCTCGATTGCTAGTGAGGAGTTGAGCTTCAAGGACATTGACGACATCTTCATCAAACATACCGGCAAAGGCGTCCCTGTCACTTACGGCCTTCTGACACGACTCATCATCTGGATGACCAAAGATTTAAACACCATGTTCAGCTTCATCGGCGAGAGATCTTATGGTGCGGATCTTGCATGGTTGAAGACCCAGTTGGAGCCTACCACGTTTGAACAATGGGTCAAGACCGACGTCCCAGGACGCGACAGCACCAGAGCTTGAGATACCCAAAATTGCTCAAATAAAAGAATGGTTTCATCAGACTCGAACTTGCGACCTGCAAAAACGAAGAGTGGCGCAGTGGGAGAGATTTTTAGGATTTTAGGTTCGGATTTAAAGAAGGTTTATAGGTTCTAGGACGTATACCACTACACCACTCTTCGGTATTGGTATATAGAGTTGAATTTATATATAACAGTATGCCCTGCTCAGAGATTTCGTTATTTTTGCTTATATACCCTACCTTCACACTTGTCGCTCAATGCTCTCTGCCTTGAGAATAACGCCTCGAATAAGTCCTGTCTCGGGCACACAGTTCAAATACTCAAACCGTGCATCTCCTGCCCTGAGAACAGAAACTTCATGCCATGTTCGGAATTTCCTTTCGTCTCCAAAGGTCTTGTAGTGAGCTAGTGCACCGCGGTATATAGCCAGATGAGACTTGTGGCTTTTTGCCCAGTTTTCAAGGGCTTCGAGATTGGTGAAGAAGCCAGCGCCGCACGACTCTTTTCGAGGTCGAGTTTCCTCAACTGGGGGATCTTGGTTTCTGAGATATCGCAGTCCCAAAGCACCGGTGTCAGGTGAATTCTCCCAAAGATATTGTAGGCCAGAGTGTAGAGTGGGCTCAAGCTTTTTGTCATAAGAGTCAGCTTCCTGTTGACCGCAGTTCTCCCAAAACTGTCCTGAGCGAATATGAGCTAGGTTTTCAGCATTTGTTCCGACAAGATATTGACCAAAACCCTGAGGAATTATGGTTGGTGGAGTTGGATTTGATGGAGGGAAGAGATCGTAGGCAGATGAGGGGATTCTGTCTCTCGCTGCGCCCCAATATGCCGAGAGTGTATGTTCTGGAAAACTTGCGCCAGGAAGTTTTGCGAGACCAGGGAGATAATCGAGGCCTGAGTAATTTGTTTCAAGGCGGGGAAACTCTGTGATGAACGCCTCTCGCCAGATGCCCACTGAGGCACGGCCTGTTTCTGGTAGTTGGGAGTAGATAGACTTTAGTGAGAGGCCATTGAGACCTTTCTCATATTTTGCCTTGTCTGACCAATAACACACCCAAATTGTAGATTCTTGGATATCGCATCCATCAATTACCGCGAATGTCTCATATGCCGCAGGTCCAGTATCGCCATTCACCCATGACTGAATTGTTTCTGTAGCCTCATCTCGAGCAAGGTCAGAATCTCGACCGTCAGAATGTTTCTGAACCCCGATATATGCCGTGCAAACATGGGTGACATCATCTGGGAGGACGAGGTGCCATCGTGGGATCGGAAGCTTGTGACCTTCGGGTTTGCGGAAGGGATAGATACGCGCTGGACAGGACATGGTTCAAGTTCAATTCTAGCAAGGATGCGTCGCGGCTTTTGTTTCGTCGTAGACAGGCGAAGGTTTAGTGACGAGGTGGAGGTCGGGGTTACCTTTGGGGATCGCCATTTGATAGGTTGCCCTGATTTGGATTCACGCCCTTCAATGATCACGCATTATTTGGATGTTCCATGTTTCCGACATGATTCCTCATGGGAAAGAGTCGTGGATCTTACCGTGTCTTTCATTTGAATTGACCCTCCCTTGTCATTCTGTCTGACTTTACGGCATCAGCGTCGGCTTCTAACTTCGGCATCTACCATCACCGCCGTAACACACGATGCCATCCTACGAAATATTGCGAATACAGGATATAAAAAGTATATCTCCTCTCTCAGCATTGACACTTCCCCTCCTCTTGGCAGCTTAACCGCGGCCGCCACGGCGCATCTCGGAACTCTATATCCCACTACTTTTCCGACAACGGGGCCCAGAAATTCCGAACATCTCCCATCACGCAATTCTCGAAACGTTTTTAAAATTCAAGGGTCTTGTGTTATCTTATCTTTGGATACCAATTGGCTGTTAGTTATGTGAGACGAGACGCCTTCGGGATGGGACCCGGGAACCATCAGTATTTACCGGGACCGCATATATTTATCCCGATCAGATGATGAGTAAGAGGGAGATGGGGTAACAACGCCCAGATTGGGATTACAACGTCCAAGAGGGGTCGTCGATCGTCTATCCTATCATTTTATGTTTTGCTTACCCCTCGATATAAGTTGTAATGCGGACGATGGGCCGATGTTGGCTACACAGTACCAGATATTCTAGAAACCTCTAAAAGCAATTATCGTCTTCAGCTCTCACTTGTCTTTCCAGATTCAGGTATCACCTATCTTATCAGTGACCTATCAGTGGGCACGGCCACGGAATCGGCTTCCGATGACCGTCGGCCGGACCCTGGACCAGCCCCCGATTGTCCCTGAACCATGACCATTCCCCGCAAAACGCCATCGCAACAGTTACACACACAGTGAAGGACAATGGTGATAACTCGGCATCTCGGTCTCGACGCTTACGCTTACGCCGATTATGGCTGCATACAGTCAAAATTACCGTTTGATACATGTCTTTTTGCGGGGGATCAGAGTACATAACTGAACACAGACGCCTGTGGGTGTCTATCGTAAATCTTGTTGTATATAAAGTCTTCTCTCCATCCCATTCCCCTCGGCTCTTCTTTTCCCCCTTGGCAATGGCTTCATCCTCTCATCGAAACATCATCTCAAAGAATAAAACTCCCATCGCCGTCGCCGCCGCTCTAGTATCAGCTGCAGCAGTAATCACCTCCATCTACCGTTCAGTAACTACCTACAAGATGTCTCACAACCTCCACCCCAGCCTCAAGAACGGCATCACCAAGGGCTCGCCCAACTTCTCCGGTGGCAAGCTCCGCTGCAAGTGCTCCTCCAACCCTGTCGAGGTTACCCTCAGCGGCCAGGTCGCTCACAACCACGCTTGCGGATGCTCCAAGTGCTGGAAGCCCGAGGGTGCTCTCTTCTCCATCGTCGCTGTCATTCCCCGCGATCAGGTCCAGGTCACTGCCAACGGTGACAAGCTCACTATCGTTGACAAGAGCGCTGCTATTCAGCGAAACGCCTGCCGTGACTGCGGCGTTCATCTCTTCGGCCGCATTGAGAATGATCACCCCTTCAAGGGTCTCGACTTTGTCCACGTCGAGCTCTCTGATGACAAGGGCTGGCAAGAGCCTCAATTCGCCGCCTTTGTCTCTTCCATCATTGAGCAGGGCTTCCCCGCTGACAAGGCCAACGAGGTCCGAGCTCAGTTCAAGGATCTTGGCCTCGAGTCCTACGATGCTCTGTCTCCCCCTCTGATGGACGCCATTGCCTCTTGGACCGCTGCCAAGTCCAAGATCTAAGGACTTCAATTTCATGTATGACCTAACACGTGAGGGACTGGGTTACAAAAGTTTTGAGAAATGGTTAGCGGGGTTTTGAGGACTCGTGGTTGTTGCTTGAACAAGAATGTACAGTGTCGTCGGCGTGTGTTGTTTTGGGACAGGACGAGATGAACGGAGTTGGGTGTGCAGTTGAATAGGATGACACGGGAAATGTGCGCTTACGAATGATATGAAAGGAAGAGAGGCTCAAAGATAGCTCTATCAATCCGAATTCATGACTTGACAAATCCTTATGGCCATTGCTGCAATTGTGATGTGAGCATGCTATTATAGACCTCAAAGCTGGTCAACTATAATTTGCCCATATCAGCACGTGATAAATCATATAATCTCATGATGTCTGTTTACCATGTATTGAGAAATGCCTATGAATTACGCCCACTTCTATCCGAATCTCCATCACAACCTATAACATCATTAGATGAAAGTATACCATTGGACAGAATGCTACTGGTGATGAATCTACGAGGTCTCCGGTGGTTACGATGTTCCTCACGACATTGTGCCCGGCTTCAATGGTCAGTATATCGAGGCAAGAATCGCAAGTCTTTGATTTTAGCAGCTAGAATATACAGTTCTTCAGGCAGAAGAGCAACTTGTTCAGGCCCTTTCACCCTTCCGTGCCAACTTTCGATCCGAAATCACCCTCACTGCGCGAGATGATGACCGAGATTCACTCACAGAATGACATATATAAGACCCGCCAGATCTCACTCGCGAAGGCATTTGAAGCAATAACATCTACTATTTTAATAAAAGAAGAATAGTGGCCTCTACAACCTCAACACGATTTCTCCGATCTATTCAGGGGATAGCGTGATGCTCCAGCACTTTGCTTGAATTGAAGGATGTATGAGAGAAGTCTTCAGGTGGAAAAGAATACAGATTCCATTTTGTCATCTTCAACCTCGAATTGAGTACAGAGGAGGGCAAGAATATTTAATCATGCGACAGGGGGGTTGAGTGACAAAATGAACTTGCATGTAATATGAGCCCTCCGATCAGTGACAAGCAAGATTGCACAGAACTTTCTGACGATAGAAACTAAATGTAAAAGAGAGACAGAGACAGAGAGAGTCGAAGTGTACAAGAGTTTGTGCAGTGTCTTGATTTTGGGTGGCGAAGAGAATCAAACCCTGTATCACGAAGGACACGACAGTGATTCACGGCCCGGAGCTGCACACTCACTTAATCGATCTCAGCCTGGTTATCGTGTTCTTATCATCTGTGTTAGCAGCCTAAAGTTCAACCTTATGGCCAGCAAGTAGTTGTACAGCAGATCTCAGTCTGGCCAGTTGGTGTAGCATTCATACCGGTCAGTTTGCGTGTCACACCCTGCAAGGTGGGCTCAAGTACAGTTGCACATAAACCTGTGACGAATTAGCTGTCAGAATAAGCGATATGAGTATTTCTCTTTCCGTAGTGGCCAAGGTAGATATATAGCCGTAGCAGCCCAGGGCTGGTAGAAATATCAAAACTTCTAACATCAAGAGGACCACTGTTCAGGAGTTTCAGAGAGACAGAGAAGAAGAGACTATTCAACAGTAACATCAACATCGCTGCAAGGAGACACACAAATTGACCAAAATCTTGATTTAGCAATCATCATTGGATATATAGCGAGTGACTAGAGAATTATAACTAAAACATATCCAATATCAAAGCTATTGATAGAATAAAGTTAGGCCGCAGGCCCAAAGAAAAGCAACCAGCATAGACAGCGGCGATCACTCAGATGGCTTACTCAGACCATACTTCTTTCCATGAGTGGCTGCGAAAACAGGCTTGTAGTTAGAATAGATGGGAGGAAGAGCCCGGGAATCAGGTGAGTTGATAGTCTTCTCTGACAAATCAGCCACAGGGTTTGAGGGAAGAGTATCCAGAGCAGCATCTGTCATCATAGCAATCGACACCATATCAGCTTGCTTTTTCTTGTCAGGCTTAGTATACTGTGGTTCTCCAACACCCTTGAGAACCGAAATAACAGTGTTCGGAAACCTATCAGGGTTGACACAGTGGCCGCCGTGTTGGACGAACTCCCACGATAGATGCAGCTTGAGATACTCAGCGACCTGGTCAAGATTCTCAATAGGATGCTCTTTGCTGGCGTCGAAGATGTGGTTGAGAAGTGGAATGGTGATAGGAATCTGATCCACGGAGAGAACCTTGTCTTTGGCTTGACGCTTGCAGTTCTGACAACCTCCCTCGGTCTCGGAGAAACTTCCAGTGAAGGTGAAGACTTGGCCGATGTAGTTCTCTCCGACAAAATGTGTGGTCTTCTGGTTCTCTGGGCCACCGAGATAGAACTTGATGGAATAAGATGTTCCTCCTAAAGCATAACGGTCGTAGATAACATTGATAACATAGTCATCAAAAGGCTCGCCGATAGTCTCATCCAGACCATCTGGGATATCAATACCGTCAGTGGATCTGATCTTGCTGATGACATGAGCAGGTCCAGGATATGTGCGGTTGACTCGAGCCAGAATGTCAGTGGTGTAGTGATCCTCGTTCAGATATCCATCAGGCTTGAGGGATGCAGCATCAGGAACAAGATCATCGTACTGATAACCGAGTTTAGTCCAGTCTCGACAGTCATCAGAGTTCCAGTACTGCGTCTTTCCGTCAAATCTGCGGAATGGCTTGAGATCATCCTTCTTCCAAGCGTCAGGCTCGATCTTCTTCGGCTTTGCCTTTGGGTCTCGAGGATTCTGGCTGGCATCGGTATCCCACCATAGATCCCAGTTTAATGTTTGCCACATGGCCAAGAGACGGTCAATTTGACTGATATTATATTGTCAGTGAGATCTAACGGAATTAGCAAAGGGGTACAAACCAGTGATGGAGCCAGAAGATAGGATCAAATGCAGCTACAGGTACATCAGACATGTGACCTATTCCAGTTTCAAAGTGTTGACCTCCAGCAAACAACTATTCGAGTCAGAACTCTCAGTTTTTAGAAGATGTCTCAGTGAGGGCACTTACATGGACAACGTTGTGAATAGACTCAAGGGACATGTAACCCTTGGAGTTTCGATCCTCTGCTTGCCACTTTGTCGATGCAAAGATGCCCCATGTAGAAGTGAAACCAGTCGTCATCATTCTGTTGACTCTATCGGACAGGTTTCCAGGATTGTACTTGGTCCACTTCTCACCCTTTCTTCCGATAAGCTCCGCACCAAAGAATCGATTGGCAGCAGTGAAGTTGTTGACACCATCGAGGCCAGTGTATCTGTTCTTGGACCCAAGCTTGATCTGAACGGCCCAACGTCCCGTGCTGTTTGTAAGACTCCACTATGAATAGAATTAGCGGCCATGCTCATCATCTATCCAGGAGCATCTGGGTTCACGTACAGGCAAGACCTGATCATTGGCCGGGTTTGAAGTCAACTGAATACCCCCAGTCTCCTTAGGATCAGGGACATTATCAGGGATGTTGTACTTCTCTTTGTCCTCGGGCATCTTTCCAAAAGGCCTTGGCTCGTCGGTATCACCATATTTCTCTGGGTTGTCAAAACCATAAAGTGGGTTGGGATATTCCTTGATAGTTGAGTACTGCTCCTCCTTGCTTGCGGGTGGGAAGATCTCAACAGAGTTTGTAGTCAAGACCTTGGGGAGAGCGAAAACTTCGGTGTAGACCTGCTCTCGAGCCCAGTCCCAGTAAGGAAGACGCCAATTATTAGCAGCTTCTTTCCAGGCGGCGTCTTCGTCCTTTTCGAGCTTCCACTCGTTGATGATGATCTTCATATGCTTCCAAATAAGTTGCTTTACGATGTGAGTACTGGTATTTCGCGAAGAGGTGCCGATTCTGAGTACATACCTCAAAAAGTAACATATAGACTCTGTGCCAGGTAGGAAATGTCAAATTCTGATGAACACAGTATCCATCCTCTTGTTTCTCAGGTTCACCCTCATCCCAAGTCAAATTAGGATAAGCATGAATGCCTGCGACTTGGAAGTAGGACAACTTCTCATCGACAGAAAGGGCTTTGAAACTCTCGAGTGCTAGAACATAGAGAGTCCATTGCTTTCGACCTTCAGGAGTTGTATCGTTTGCAAACTCGCTGATCTCTCGACGAACAGGCATTCCAGGCGCATTGGGGATTCTGTCAGTCTTGAGCTCAATGTGTTCGGTGGGGATGCCAGTGATGCCGAAGTGGACATCGTGCTTTGAAGGGTCTGCCATGATAGAAAAGATATGAGCCTCTGTAAAGGTGATTTGTGTGGTATTTCGTGCGGAGTTATAATGAATAGTTCCGATGATACAAACTCTGGACTGGAAACACTGGCTATTTATCTCTTTTCGAGCTCATGACTTTCAGCTAAGGTCGTGCAACATACGACGTACGTAAACACTCAAACATCTCGTGTTCTTGCTAGTTTGAAGCTGAAATGTGATGAACTCTCTCCTCTTGAATGTGATAATGATCATGAGTAGTTTCACGCATACACGACAGTTCGCCAAGATTGGCTATTGATACCGGGGGTTGGTGAGGCTAGTTGAGTGACTAGGTAAAATCTGGATGGTCCTGCACTCTTACGGATAGCACGTTATCAGACTATTAGTTCATTCAGCCATTGAAACAGACAGAGGCTGGCTGATGACCAAAACTGCCAAGACACAGAAAAAGATCCAGAATCTAGATCGTATTCTGTCTCACTTGCGTATTCCTTCTGACGAAGCTGGTGATTGAGGCTGGCTGACAGATGAAGGAATGCGTCACCTTCACGACAACTCACTAACTTATACGGGACGGGACGGGACGACAAACTCAAGCTAGTCTAGCTTTGAACGTGTTTCTACAGAAGCGGGTTTATCTTCTCTCTTTGAAGTAACGCTCTCGTATGACATTCCAATCAATGAGGGGAAAGCAATGGTGGCTCAAGCTAGAGTGCGGCTGATGACCAGATCGGGAGAGCTTTGACAACTTTTGCTGCTTTACTGTAGCTGAGCTCAGACTATCTTTAGCTAATGGCTGAAATATTGCCATGGGATTCGATCAGGTTGAATAGAAGAGATGTGACGAGACTACAAACGGACGATTTTGTGTTGTGTAGGTTGTGAAATAGCTTGTCACATACTCAAAGGACCAAGGTAAACAGACGCAAGAAACAAGAAACTCAATCCCAAGAAATGACATGGAGGGAACTCTCCTTCTGAGACCTTTCTCTTCTCTCCCATTCACCATCTTACTCGAGCTTCATATTTCTGAGTAGGTCGAAAATTTCATCTTTCAGGCTTCGCTGCAGACATCAGTATAGTTCCACCCAAAATGGGTTTCTACAACGCGTGTAAGACGTTCATCGTATACACCGTCACCTTCTTCTCACTTCCATTTCATGAGCATATCGGAGGTGATTCCGAACAGCCCGTTTTATCTTTCGAACATAACCAGATATCCAAGAGCTATCCAAAGTTCCCAGCACCAAATGGCCCCGATTCACCCGACGAAGACTTCACTTGCAGGTATCCTGAGCTTGGAAATGACTAGAAACCATGCTCTACCCCGGAAAATCGACACTGCTGGCTGAGGAGCTCAGATGGACATAATTTCAGTATTCATGCTGACTATGAGACTATGTATCCGCCTGGAGTGCTTCGAGAGGTAAGCTGTCACTAACATGGTTAACACTTGAGATAGATTGCTGATTGATGTCTGCAGTATTGGCTTGAGGTTAACAACAAGACCATCAACGGCGACGGTATTGATAACCGGTATGGAAAGGTCTTCAACCAAACTTACCCCAGTCCATGGATCAAAGCTTTTTGGGGTGATCTCATCAGAGTCCATGTCACAAATAAACTGCGATATAACGGCACTACGACCCATTGGCATGGTATTAGGCAGAATGGCACCATGGAAATGGATGGTGTAAACGGCGTCACTCAATGCCCCATCGCCCCCAATGATACCTTCACATACGAGTTTCGTGCCCTTCAGTATGGTTCTTCTTGGTATCATAGTCACTACTCTCTACCATACGCCGACGGTTTAGCAGGACCTATAACAATCTTTGGACCGTAATCAGCTCACTATGATGAAGCGAAGGATCCTATTCTTATCACGGATTGGAACCATCGAAGTGCTTTTCAGGAGTGGGAGAGAGAACTTACAGGCGTGCCGACTCGTCCTCAGATGAATAGCATATTGATGAATGGAATTGGTAAGACACATCGGCTTACCTATCTTGTTTCAATGCTTACAGTGCTCTTTTAGGAAACTTTGCTGGTAGCTTTCCGCGAGAACGGTACAACATTACCGTAACCAAGGTGATAACTTGTGATAGAAGGATCTTTATATGGTGCTAACTCTCGTTGCAGGGCAAGAAATACCTCCTACGTATCATCAACACATCCATCGACACCACGTTCCTTTTCAGTATCGATAATCACCACTTTGAGGTCATGAGTTCCGACTTTGTTCCGATTCATCCCTATACAGTAGACCATATCTTGGTGGGAATTGGTAAGTCAACATGTAGCCGCTACTAATATATGCAACTGACAGCCTCTAGGCCAAAGATATCATGTCGTTCTCCATGCCAACCCTACAAACACTACCAAATATCCTGCATCAGACGATGGGAACTACTGGATTCGTACAGTTCCCGCAGACGGCTGCAAAGGGTTCGAGAATGGTAACGAGCCAGATGAACGCCAGGGCATTCTTAGATACGACTCTAAGAGCAAAGCTGTACCTCAGACGTGGAGAGGAGAGTGGAACAAGCTTGCAGCGATGAGAAGTATGAGAACTTGAAGCCTGTCCTGCCATGGTCGATCCCATCTGTTGAACTTTATAAGAGTCAGTATCTGCTTGTCGAAATTTTGGTTTAGGTCTCTTACTAACAGGTTACAGGAGACAAAAGCAAGGATCTTCAACTTGGCCTGCAGCAGGAGAAGAATAGGCCTCATCTTGGAGATAAGTTCAGCTGGTGGGCCTTCGGCGCACAGCCTCTATGGCTCAATTTCTCGGAGCCGACTATCACTTTACTTGACGAAAAGAAAGAATGGCCTGGCGATTATGTGATTGTTCCAGCAGAGAACAGAGACGGATGGGTCTATCTTGTCATCACAGCTCCAGCGACGGAGGAGCTTGGGAATAACAGGACATTCATCTCGCTTGCCCATCCAGTAAGCTCAGTCCAGTTTGTGATAAAGCATTACTGACGGTTATAGCTTCATCTTCATGGCCATGACTTTTCCCTTCTCGCTCAAGGCTCAAACTCTTCGCAGATCGATGATCCAGACAACCCCATCGCACTCAAATTTGATAACCCACCTCGACGAGATGTAGCACTGATTCCAGCAGGAGGATACCTTATTGTCGCCTTCAAAGCTGATAACCCTGGCTCTTGGCTGTTCCACTGCCATATTGCCTGGCATGCTTCGAGCGGATTGGCGTTGCAGATTATGGAGCGTGAGGAGGACTTGAGGAAGATGATGACTCCGGAGAAACTGAAGCAGATCAATGATGGCTGCAAGAAGTGGAAGGATTGGTATGGAAACCGGAAGAATCACTGGAATCCTGTGGGTATATTCCAGGATGATTCTGGTGTTTGATCTAACTGGACTACGCTTGGAAAATACTTGAGGTACTAGAACCGCATCTACTTGTTTATCAGTAAGAAACTTATTGTTCACCCTCTTCAGCTTTCTAGTTTCACTGGTGAGCACAGACCTGTATGCATACATGAGAATTCTCTGCGAAGGGGTTTCTGGCATTGATGCCCTACACACTGAATATGCATGACCTTATTCACCTCTTCACTCCTACCTCATGACCCATGGTGAATGCTTTGATACAGAGTTTGAGTACATTCACTGGTGACCTCATAAGGGATGAGAGATTTCATCCAGTCTTTGACAAACAGACGAAACGGAAGCCTGATTCAGATTTCGTCTGATCAGATTACATCTGCCATCGATTTCAAATAATGACTTCTGGACAGTCTAATGATGAGCTACATTGAATCTTGAACCACTACAATGAAATTCTTCTGATCAAAGAACCTTTGTGGTCTATTTGTCCTTTGTTCACGGCGAGTCTCGTCCTATAAGACGGAGCAGCTTTCTCATGCCAGGAGTTCCTCAAGCATATCCATACCAATTTTCTTCTACACTGACCAATCTATCTAGTCGCCATGTCTTACAACTATCACCTTTACAGTCGTCGTCCAGCCTGGTACCCACCACATACCGTCCAAATCTTCATCACAATCTCCACCCCTGATCTCGACCGAGACTTTCAATGGACGCTTTCTGCGTACAATACAGTTACTCATCTCTGGCAAAACTTCGAAGTTATTCGAGCGCACCGCGGCAACTTCTGCAAAATCTATCAGCATTCGCATAACCCGTGTATGCTTCCATCCTATGTCACCTGGGAAGAGTTGTGCACAGTCAACGCGGAGTGGTTTGAGAGTCTTGTGAACATGACTCGTATCTCGCCGTTGTGGAGCCTGACAGAGGGGTGAATGCGTAATAATAGTAAGGATTTCATTTATGGGGTTCTGGAGATTTTGAAGGTGCATGATGCTATCGATGAGAGGAAGATCAATGAGGTGAAGAGGAAGCTGAGTCGGTATATTGGGCCTTTTGGTGTTTGAAATTCAAAGCATTGTTTTTTGTATTCGTTTGATATAAACAGGTATCAAAATTTAGCAATTTCATCCAGACTCCTCCTTTGTATCTCTGAATAACCAACCATCGAGAGCAGGAGGCAGTGGCATACCAGCAATATCTTCTTTCTCCACAAAGCTCCTGATCTCAGCCTCTTCCTCATCACTGAGAACTATATCAAGAGCAGCCCAGTTCTCATCGAAATACTCAATCTTCTTAGTCCCAGGAATCGGAATAATATCATCACCCTGCCTTGACAGCCACGCAATCGCAAGTTGAGCAATAGTTATTCCCTTCTTATCAGCCAGCCCCTTAAACTGGCTCACACGCTGAATATTCTTCTCACGGTTCTCGCCCATGAATCGAGGGATAAGCTGATATCTAACATCGTTGCCTTGGTGTCCAGATGCTGTTCCGTCGATGAAGTTAGTGGTCAGAAGACCTCGGCCAAGGGGCATTGCTGCAACGACGGCTACACCAAGCTCCCGGCACGTGTCGAGGATGTGAGTTCCCTTTTCTCCCTCGCAGTAGAGTTCGAATGCAGAGTATCCGATCTGAAACGCGGCAACTGGGGCGATCTTGACGGCTCTGCGGAGAGTGGCTGAGGTGACAGCTGAGAGTCCTATATGCTTAATCTTGCTTCACTAAGAAGCTTTCAGTCGGAGTTTCTCGTCTTTCTCAGGAGTCTCGGGATTGGGCGTGTGCAGATAGTCTATATCAGTTATAGTTGGAGTTTCCGCTCAGAGTTCTATAATTACAGAGATCGATAGTCTCGATATCCAAGAGCCGTAGACTCTCAGCACGTGCTTGCTTGACATGCTTATACGAAGTGTTGAGCTCAAAGGTCTGGCTGTTCTTGACGTATCCAAACTTAGTTGCAAGAAAGATATCATCTCGTTTGCCAGTTCGTTTGAACCACTTTCCAATGATTTCCTCGCAGTCGTTATAGTAGCTTATCTGTGGTTAGCTAGTATCTGGATGCAGTCAGACTTTGGAACTTACTCAGCACTATCCCAAAATGTTGCACCGGCCTCATAAGCATGATCAAGGAACGCAAATATTTCGTCTTGGATAGGGATAGCTCCATAGGTTGGACGGGTTAAACCCATTGTGCCCAAGCCCATACGGGAGACGAGAGGGCCATTCTTGCCAAGAGGGACTCGAGGGACAGTTGTAGCTGACATGATTATAAGAATTTGAATAATTTAGTCTTTTGGATTTGTTTGTGCTGTTGAACTGGTTATCCTGTAGAGAATCCATAGTTACTGGCTTCGAAAGTGCACTTTTATACTATCCAAATTCAAGATAATCTGATGCATTCTCACGGAGTTTGGACTTGACAATGAACATATCTGACAGCGATGGTCTCGACTCTTATCTCCGGCTCAACTGTATCACATAACAGATCCTTGAAAGTTTCCGAGGCGGACAAACTTATGTACAAGTACTATCTTGGCACTCTTACACCCAAGGTTCTGACACTCAACTTCTCAACCAATCAAACCTCGTGGTTTCCGAGCAAGCCAATAGGAAGTGCAGATATGGATGACGATCTCGTCAGCGGAGTAGTCCGCGGGGTGGCAGGGCACGCTCAGTACGTAGTCCCTCTATTAGCGCCCCCAACCCACGGGCCTAGCAAGAATATTCCCGACTTATAAGCTCTAGGGGCACGTTCAACGACGCCAAAATGCCATCTCCGCTTAGATTGATAACCAAGCAGATCTAAAAGTTTCCGAGCAGACAAATCAATTTCGTTTCCTCCCTGTTGTGTTGTTTCATAAAATGGCTCGAAAGGGAAAATCCAAGGTCAAATCTGGTTGTAAAACATGCAAGTGAGTACTTGACAAGAGAGTAGAGACGACAAGAGAACCGAGGTTAATGACTTAGATTGAGAAAAGTCAAATGTGACGAAGGTCGTCCAGCTTGTCAAAGATGTTTATCAACAGGTCGTGTATGCGACGGATACGGCATCTGGGGCGGAGGATCACACGCTCTTACACAACAATGCCATTCCCAATCGCAATCCCGGCCCAAGTTCACCCTTGGCACTCCTCTAGAGACAACCCTCGTCCTCTCACTAAACGCCAACGAGAAGCTCTACTTTGACTGGTTCAAGTGTCGCACTTCTACAAAGATATCAGCCACTTTCTCTTCTGGCTTTTGGAACACCCTCGTCTTCCAGGCTGGGTCTAGAGAACCCGCTGTACTACATGCCCTCCTGGCGCTCAGCTCGGCGCATAAGAAGGGTGTTGTGACATTGGACATACATAGAAACTCCCCCAAGTCTCAAATGAGCCAACAGGAACAGTTTACGCTGCAGCAGTACGTCAAGGCTATTGCACATCTGCAGCCACATTTCAACGCCAAGGATAGAGAATCGTGTCGTGTGGCGCTCATCACTTGCATTGTCTTTGTCTGCTTGGAGTTCTTCCGGGGCCACTTTGCTACGGCGCAGCTTCACCTGAAGAATGGGCTTGATATTCTTTGGCAGATGCAGGGTCTTCCTGAAGCCAATTCGGGCATCTTGGCGCTGAAGCCCTGTCATGAATCGACCGATGCTTGGATTGTGGAGGCCCTGTCAAGGCTGCATATCCAGGTTGAGCTATTCAGACTGTTGTACCACCACTCATGTGTTATTCTACAGCCAGCTCATCACCCAGAGAAGAGTTTTCTTGAATCGTTCGCCAATCTCAACGATGCGTGGAAAGGGTTAGAGCTTGTTTACAACCAGATATTCCACCTTACCCATCGAGCCCGCCAGCGGACCATAACAGCAACGGAGCATACAGCCCAGCAACTCGTCAAAACAAGGCTCGCGCAATGGCAGGTCATGTTTCAAGATTTTATGAAAGCGCGACCAGGTGACTCAGACATATACTTGCAAAAGGCATGTCAGATTCTGAGGATACACTACGCCATGACAAACGTCATGGCTGAGACTTGCATACACAACAACGAGACCATATACGACTCCTGTACCGATAAGTTCATCTTACTCATCAAAGAACTTACAAAATTATGGGAATTGTCGCTTCATTATGAATTGGAGGACGAAATGCCGCTGTTTATCATGACGACTTGCATGCCTAGGTCAATCATCGACATGGGCTGGATACCGCCACTTTATTTCACAGCAGTCAAATGTCGCGTTCACCGCATTCGAGCTGAAGCTATTAAACTCCTCAGAACAAGTCCTCACAGAGAAGGCATTTGGGATGCGCACATTGCAGCATGTGTCGCTAAAATGGTTGTTGAGTTGGAAGAGGGGGACTTTTACGAGGGCGTTGAGCTGGGGGATGACTTTCAGCTGAATACCCCAATGCGCGATCTGGATTACCAGGTGCCATTATTACCGGAGTCGCGCAGAATGAGTGAAGTTGAGGCAGAACTCTCAGGTGCCCCGATGGACAAGATCTTGCTTTACTGTAAGCGAGAGCAAGAGGGAGTCAACAGAAGGACTCTCATTTCAGAGTACAGCGTGAGCGAACAAGGTTGGAACGGCATATGAGAACGATTAATAATACAGCAATGCTTTGATCTCAAGTATCAGCGTGATTTGCAAGTTTAGTTAGTAATGAATTATTTACAAGTTCATGTTCTGGCGTTTGGAGGTGACATATTAAGCGATAAGATAAGCCCCGTCTCCGTTTCCGAGTCGGCGCCCGGAGTTTCAAAGTAAACAATTGACTAACGCGGCCGCGGGGCACTCACCGTCAAGCACCTTGATAGCACAACCCTTCCTCTACTATCCCCTCTCCTGTAACTCTTATTTTTTTTTCCCCTTCTTCTCTGAAGAACAATAGTCATGGACTCTGAATCTGTCGTCGCCCAAGTCCAGCGCAAGATCGAGCTGCAAACACCCGACGATCTCTCATATCTCATTGCCAACGTCCGTCGCGCAGCCGCAGAACGACTCAACGAAGCATTTCCCGTGGTAGAGGGTAATGATGGCGAGGATGAGCTGCGAAATCAGATAGAAAAGCTCGTCAACGAGGTACTGTCCCTCATTGAATCTATCTTATGACACAGAACTAACGACATCAGTACATCGACAAAACATTCTCCCTCGCCTCTCCAAATCTCTCGATAAACGGCCTCCCCGTATCTCCAGACTCTTTCCTCTCCGAATCAAATGCCGAGCCCGATACCGTTTACGAACCATTCGATACGCGCAAACGTCGGCGCGTCGCGGACTTGATCACACAGGAAGAGAAGCTTCTCGAGGACGTTGCGGCGTTGAAACGCTCTGTACCCGCTACAACAGCCGAGGCGCAGGCCGAGCAATTACGCGATAGTCTAAAGCGCGATGACGATATGCTTGAAGCGCGGAAACAGCAGGTCATTGCAGAGGCCGCTGAAGTGGAATTGGATGTTCAACCGCTGGAGAGACAAGATGGCGTGGAGAGAGGATTTCGAAGAGCTGTTGAGGGTCTAGGAAGATTGAAGCGCGATATGCCTGCTGTGGTAGCCAAGATGGAGAGGGCGCGCGTGGCGGGCGAGTATGTCGTTACGCAGGGACGATAAAAGACATCCTTGATCTTCCTTACATATATACCCAGGGCGGCAATCAGTGTATTACGAACGGGGAGTTGGGGCGCATTGGATTGGATTAATCGGCAATATCACTTCACATTTTATAACACAAATCTCGAGACCACGTCTATTGTTGAGAATTATTGCAGTCATCGGCAGCCAACATCTAACGTAAGTCTAGGCACACACGAAATAAAACATCCACATGAGCATGTTTATACACCGAGCAGAACAAGAAGGGGGCTGGAAGTCTTTTTTTGTGCTCCCTACAAACGTCATGCTCCGCCCTACTCCCCTCCAACATGTTTTTAACCATATATATCTCCGTTCAGACAACCTCTCAAACCCCCATTTGTTGAAAAAGAAAAAAAAGCATGGTAAACGAGAGAAAATATGTGGTCTATATTAAGACGTAGCAAAACCGCCCGTCTATCTTTCTTCCGTATTCTTCACCTTGGTACATTTACTCTTTTTTAAGCAGCAGCAGGGGCGGGAGCAGGGGCAGTCTGGGTAGCATCAGCACCCTCAGCAGCAGGAGCAGCCTCGGGAGCCTTTGCGGGCTCCTCGATCTCAGAGCCCTTGTTCTCGATGACGGTGGCATCCTGCTTCTTCTCCCACCAAGCGGGACGAGCCCACTCAGGGTCGTGCCAAGGACCAGCATCGCTGTTCTCACAGCCAGATTCGCACACACACTCGCCACCGAATTGCTTGGGGAGGTTCTCGGCGGGGATCTGCTTCAGGAGCTCACTCTTGTATCCAGAACCGAGAATGTTGATCTTGGAGACGGTGACGGGGTCGAGCCAGCCCTTGACCACACTCCAGACGGTGGAGAAACCCCAGGGGGCGTTGATCATGTACAGCTTGCCGAGACGCTCGGGGTAGTAGTTCTGGGAGATGACAGAGGCCTGTCGGACGTAGGAGTAGACCTGGGGAACCTTGGTGATGGAAACGCCCTTGAGATCCATGATGGTGCAGCATGTCTCGAGGAGGTGGCCGGCCTTGCGGGAGCAGGCAGGAAGACGGGGATCGGCGACGCGCTCGTACTCGACAGCGAGGTTCAGGAGCATGCGATCAGCGCTGGTGATCTTGTACATGGCGGTCAGATCAATACCACCAAGGGTCTCGATGTAGATGGGTCGGCCATCCTGTATAAGAAAAAAAACATTAGTCAACATATGTCCTCATGATGGCTCTCCCTCGTCGTCACCAGCTTGCCATACCTTGTCGGTCTTGTGGTAGAACTGAGTATAGTACTTTCCGATCTCAGCCTTCTCGGGATAGTCCCAGATAGGCACAGTCTCGTCAAGCTTAACCTCCTTTCGCCATTTCTCAGTATCCAAGAACCTATAGTGGCGGTCAGCCCCCCTGTCGCTACCAGCACAATTCTCGTTCCACCGCCATGAGATGGAAAGGAAGGGCAAAAAAGTCTTACATGGCTTTGGCGGCCTCGACATCGAACTTGCGCGCTCGGAGGAATCGAAGCTGTAGAGAAGGTCGTTGTCAGTATTTGCTGTGTCGCGTTACATGGCCCTTTTTTTCCAGGGTCCAGGAAGCAAGCTTAGCTAGGTTAAGGTGTATCTCGTACCAAAGTCAAGGTGTCCAATCGATCAGTGCAACCTTCGGACTCGAGCATCATGCGGAACTGGTGAAGCTTGGCGATCTGGTCCTCTGTGAGGTAGCCGGCGTGGCCATCCTGCTTCTCAGGGCCCTTGATGGGGAAGTCATAGTTGTCGTACTTGGGGTTCAGATCCATGGTGATAGATGTTAGATGGTGGGGTAGAGAAGAGGGGAGAAAAAAAGAAGAAAGAGCCCGCGGTGATAAAAAACAGCGGAGTTTATGAATTAAAAGAGGCGAAGAATGACGCCAAGAGGTTGATGAAGAGTTCAAGTCAAGGGGGCCTCCTCTGAATTTAAAGTCGTCCTGTCCTGTTCGGGGTCGGTCGGTGTTGAGATGAGAAGCGTAGCGTAGCCGTAGCGTAATTAACCGTTTCTGGGCTTGTCTGGTCTCCCCTAGAGATGGATCTCCCTACGGTGGGACTTCGTCATGGGTGTCCGAGATGCCTCCCGAAGCGGTCTAGCAAAGCCACATTCCGTTGAGGGGTATCACGTGGTCTCTCACATGCAGATAATTCGATAACTTACTCTCTGTCTTATCTTATCACTGATTTCTTTATCTCATCATCGGGCCCGCTTCCGATGTCAATGTCTTTGGTAGTCGACATCTTTTGATTCGACATTGGTTTATTCTCAATACTTTGATTGAGTCAACCCACCAAGAGTTCACCTTTAATGGCATAATTGTTGTCACATCATGAGGAATTCCTCCCAGAGAATCACCCTCAATGTCGCCCGCCTCTTTCACACTTCAGTCGCCGGGCCACGGCTGAGGCCTCATCGGCAATTCCATCTCACATCTTTGGCCAGCTTCCCTCGAAAGCGAAGCTTCTTCACCTCAAATCCCTACCTGTCCCAAGTCGACGACGGTTCCCGCTCCGCACCTGAACTTTCCAAAGAAGAGAAAGGTCCAGCTTCTTCAAAGAGAAAGCCTACCCGATCAAATACAGCCAAGAATTCACTTCGTCGAGTTGCCATCATTGCCCAGCAGCCAAAACGAGGCGCAACAGCGCAAGGAAGTCCCAGCGATGAACCCTCCAATGTCGTCAGCGCAACCTGCGTTGCAGAATCTTTCAAGATGCCGGTTGTTCTTGAGATTCTCTCATCGCATGGTTTCGACATTGATCCGGATGGCACGGGATTCGATGCAAACGAGGTGGTCCATGCAAGAGGTGTAAATGGTGGAGACATATTCGTTTTTCCGTCTGGCACGATTGTAACATGGTCGCTGCCCCCAGATGTCGTTACGAGACAGATCATGCGCGCTGCTGAAGAAGCGCATTCCATTGAAAGTCGGGAGTTTGAGGATCTCGAATTCACAACCGATACAAACCGAGAAGCAAGTGTGCTTAAGGGCGATGTTATTGTTCTTGGTACTCGCAAGGAGCACAAGGAAGCTGATAAGCTAGACACTACTCTAGCGAAGGTTGCCTTCTCATCGGGTCTGGCTCGAAGCACAAAACTTGCTGTTCTTGAAACGGCTTTGACGTCGTACTTTGAAAGCACACGCAACATCCCCGCACTACTCTCACAAGGTGCCGGTGTACCTCTTGGTCGAAAGTTCATCCTACAAAAGACAGGCGAACTCCTGAGTCTTCGTGCCCGTCTCAACCATTACTCTGAACTAACCGACTCTCTACCCGATATCTTCTGGGACACCAGCTCAGACCTTGGTCTCGAGGGTTACTACGAGCAAGTCGGTCGTGCACTCGATGTAAACGTGCGTATCCGCGCATTGAACCAAAAGATGGACTACGCCGCCGAAATCGCCAGTGTTCTGCGCGAGATGTCCAGTGAGCAACATGGCACTCGCCTAGAATGGATCATCATCGTGCTCATTGCCGTTGAGGTAATCTTTGAGTTACGTCGCATTGTGCTTGAGATGCTCCAGGAACGGGAAGAGCGGAAGCTTGCGGCTGAACTGCCAAAGCCTGTGGTGACACCACCGGTATAGATCGCCATTCTGGACGTAAATCTCTAGAACTTTTGTACGACTGAATGGAAAAACTCCATGTATAACAACTATGGTTTGGGAATAGTTTGAGACAATATGTGCCTCCAGGACTGGCTTGATAGATACCCCTCAGCTCAATAGAATTGATAACCAACTCAATATGTTTATTTTACCCCTGTAGTTATCCTCCTTCTTCATATCATGACATACACATACCCACTCCACCCAGGACCCTTGACATCTCTCACTGGCACAGAAAAAACTCCATAGCGTAAACATATTAAGTATCAATGCAATAGTGTACCTTTTTTTTTTCATCTGCATACACGCGCCAATTCGGCGTCTTGGATTACACAACCAGGAGTTTCCACCTCCAGGTCAACAACTCGATGGAAAATTCCACCTAGTCCTCGTTCTTCACTGTAATGACAAAATAATATGTCTCTCGTCCCTTTTTCCCTGGTTGAGTCAAAAAACCAACTCCTCAGAAAAACGTAGCTAATAAAAACAAATCGAGAATCCACCCTCTAAACGCCTCCCCTGAGCCCCCTTCTCGTTCCTCCCATGCCCTAAGTCTGCCTTGATGATATCATATCTGACTACTTCCTTTCCACGTCTTCTGTTTCCAAAAGAACCACAATGTGTCGATTATTACAATGGCTTCTGCTGCATGCCTGGGATCGGTGGGACAGGAACAGGAGTCACCTTGTGCGGAGGTGGTGGTCCTGGAGTCCCGCTCATACTCGATCGCTGAGAATTGGGAGTCGGAGGCTTTTGCTGAGAAGCAATACTTGCTCGCGCAGCTGCAAGTCGGCTGGAATCCATAGTCCCGGCTTGGCCATAACCAGGAGTACCAGGCTGAGTGATCTTGTCAGCGAACATAGTAGACCGCTCTTGGGCCGCGACCCTGGCTTTGGCTTGTTCGAGAATCCGCTGCTGTTGCGCTTCAGGGATAACGGTGTGGTATCCTGTAAGTCCAGGGTTCTGAGCAGGCGTTCCTTGTTGAGGGGGGTTGCTCGGGTACCTATTCATTTGATTGCCCACAGCCTGATTCGGCGTACCATATCGCGGAGGCTGCTGCACATTAGGCGAAGCACTGTAGGCCTGTCTGTTGACCTGAGGAGACATCGTGCGCTGCGGCACAGCTTGACCGTTAGTGTAAGCCCCAAAGTTGGGCTGTGAGGGCGTAGCGGCTTGTTGCTGTGGATAGCCTGGTTGGAAAGCGAATCGAGCACTGGGAGTTCCCTGCTGAGCCTGCATCTGTCCAAACTGAGGTCTTGGCTGAGAAACATACTGCGGCATGTTTTGGTGGCCATAAGGAGTTTGGGCTTTAGCGACCTGTGTGGCATATTGAGCAGGATAACCATTGGATCGAGAATACTGGTTAGGTTGAGGAGGTCTAGGTTGAGCGGGCATAGGTCGTGGTGCGGGTGTAAAGCTTGGCGTAGGCCCAGGTCGATAGTATTGCTGCTGTTGCATAGAGGGGGTTCGTTGAGGGGTTGCGTACTGGTTCTGGGGAGTATGATGCCCGTAAGAAATTCCCGATACACTAGGTGTACGTTGAGGCGGCGGCCGGGCATTAGCCTGGGCAGCTTGTTGCTGAGCTCTCAGCCGAGCCTGAACACCCGCCTCATCCTCCTCCATAACTCCCTTGTACTTATCAGTCTGAACTTGAACCTTGGTGCTGATAAGAAGGTCCTCCAATTGGTCTCCATTCAGCTTAGCGACAGCATATGGCGGTAGTGTCTTGATGATCAAAGCAAGCTGCGCCTTGAGCATCTCATATGTGGCTTGCTCGCCTTCCGAAGGAGTAGGTCCGGGAGTAGCCAGCATATCGCCGTTGACTGGGTCGCTTGATGAGCGGTTTTGCGAGTTCGGGAGGTTAAGGTTTCGGATGCGTTGATAAGAAGACAGGGTCTCAATCATGTCGCTGACTTCTTCCAGAATCTCATCGACTTCCTTCTCCTCATCTGCCCGTTTTGTGCCCAGAGCCTCTTCGAGTGACGGATCAACAACTGATTCATCCCAATTATCAATCGCTTCTTGGATAGCCTTCTCATCGATGTCCATAGCCTCATCCTTTTCGGCCTTTTCCTCACTGTCAGCACCACCATAATATTCGACCTCAATCATGTTCTGGAAAGATCGGTGGCCCGATCGCTGCCACCACATTCGACCCGCAACACTCGACGGTACAACAGCTCCTGAATCATCCTTGCACGGCGCGAAGCTAGAAAAGGCGCCTCGGAAAAGTGATTCCATCTCGTGCAATTCGAGTTCAGTAGTTGAGGGTCGCTTTCCCGCTAGACTTTGCGCACGTTCTCGTTGCTTGGTGATGGTCTGTGATGAAGGAGTCGCATTGCTGTAGTCGAGGTAACACCCAGCAGTCAATTTGGTTGTGAAGTAAGACGCATTTCGAAACTTGGAGGTATCTGTCAGTTCTGGTCGATAAAAGTCCAGCACGTTGCCCTTGGCTTGCGTCTTGGGCTGCTTGGGTGGCTGCAGAGGCGGCAGGTTCTTTGGTGACGAAAACAAATCTCCAAGAGTCTGTGTTCGCTCATGAGGCGTCGTGGGCATAACATGAGTTAATGACATTCCCTGGGGTAAGGGCACATCACGCAGTTTGGCTTCATCGGAAATTGGGAGACTGGAGAACAGTCTTCTCTCCTGAGGTGCATATGCAACAAGAGACAGTACCAACTCTCCCTTCTGAGGAGATGGTGGAAGTTTTGCCTCGACGGGAAGAGGATCGGCCGAAGTTTTCGGGTAAGCCTTTTCTCGTCGAAGAAGTTGCATAGCCTTTTCCTTAAAGTCCGAGATTTGCGCTCTCAATTCCTCGTTGGTCGCTTCCTTTTCATCGTCGGCTGGCTTAGTCTTGATATCCTTGAGAGCGGCTTGGAGTGCAGAGACCAGGTCATTAGCCACTTGGTCTAGATCCTCGTACGCATTCGCGGCAGCCTTCTCGGAGATGGTGGTTAGATCGGTCGACTTTTGGCGCTTGGCTCGGTGTTCATCTTGCTCATCATCAGAGGATTCTGGCAAGGGGCGCTTGAGGATGGAGGGACCGATGTCGTAGCTATTGGCGATGGGTTAGTGGATTTGAGGGAGAAGTCATTCGCGACAAAGTTGCGATGCGATGGAAAAAGAAGTGGTAAAAAAAGCAGGCATACCTGCTCAGAACTTCGACGAAAGATTTTATCACGTCGCGTTGGTCCTTTTTGGGCTCTCCATTTGTAATGGCAGGTTTTTGCTCCTCGGAAGCATTGTCTTCATCGCGGTCTTCCATTTCTTCCGTCTCGCGTTTTCGCTTTCCCGGAGCGACAGGTTGCGCTTTGTTGAGGCTGGGGGATTCTGAGGTGCCGTTGGCTTGGATGGCCGTGGGCTGGGCCATGGTCGGCGTGGTCATGATGGCTTCAAAAAAGAGCCTTGGATGGTTTTGGTTCCGTCGTCGGGGCGTTGGCCGCGCCTCGTCGCGATACGCGGTAGTTGCAGTGGCAGTCAGTGATTCCTGTTAGCAGCAGTTGGAGCTGGAATGACAGCGGTAGTGGATGGCAGAAATGGGTATGGGTATGGGGGGGCCAAGGTCCTCAGTCGCTGGTGCAACTCCAGGTAAATAATAAGTTAATAACTTTAGTAGGTATGGATTCAACAGCGGTTGAAGAAGCGCAAACGATTCGATTCCATCGAGTAAACCCACGACACAATCGTACAGTCAATCGATGTAACAAGAAGTAATCGACTCGTAAACTACGCGACAAACACGTCTCAAAGCAATAGTTCGAGTCGAAAAATGGGGGGAGGATGATTGATTGCCTTTGGCTCTCTCTGCTTTGGCTGTGCTTTGCTTTGCTTTGCGCTCAGCCTGAGCCTGGGGGGAAGAATGTGTCTCCTCGATCGCCAAGTACCTTGTACCTCGTCCCTTACTTGTCGCTTGCCAATCTCGGCCCCACTCTGTCCCTTTTTACGAACTGAAGCCTCAGGAGCCACATCATGCACGTGACTCAGCTGGTGCAACGGTTTAAGGTGCATACAGTGTTGTAGAACATGATCATCTTGGGTTACCCAAATGTTACTATGATTCTTTATTTTAAAAGGGGATGAAATAATGAAAATGCTTAAATTCTGGTGAATGTTCTACAAACAAGACATAGCATTCTTGTGAAGAAAAGTACCATCCACCTCGAGCTCTTTGTTACTCAACAGCCAGCTCATTAACACCCACAGAGCGGCTGCAGGTCTAGCGTAATCATGATCATCATCATGGTATCCATTTACCCCAGTGCGTAAGCTTTAATATGATCTCATCCTATCATAAGCACCATCAAATCATTAACAGAACAGTAGGCAAAGAGTCAATAGGTTTCATATTACTGAGCAACAGGTACGAGAAGCCATCTTCTCAATTCCTCCCGCTCATGGTCTGTCATACAATTCAAACTAGTCCCATGCCAGTATCCAAAGCCATGTCCATGCTGCGTGTTCCATTCGCTATTGGTAATTCATACACATAAAAACTTCATAGGTATCTTTACTTGGCACGAGCCAGACCAACGGCGTTCTTGCCGAGGTCGTAGACAGAGTAATATCGTCGGAGGAAAGCATCACCGAGAATAACAAGAGGTCCTACAGGCTCGGGGAAATCCATGCCCTGGAAGGTAGAGATACAGCTGCCCTGAACCTCGAGGATGTAGTCGGTGGCGGGGAGGCTGTAGTTGGATCCGGCAAGGTTGAAGGTGATGTCAGGAAGAGAAGCGCGCTTGTCACACTCAATGGTGTACTGGCCGTTGTAGCCCTTCTTAGCACCAATCTCCTTGTTCAGGAGCTCAGCAAGAGCGCTGGGGAGGACGTTCAGGGAGGTACCGGTGTCAAGGATGGCACCAGTATTCTCCTGCTCAGCAACCTCATCGCCGAAAGCAATGGCTTCGAGGTCAACCTCCCAGTAAGCCTTGCGGCGGAGAGGAATGTACTCGATGTCTCCAGAGAACTTGGACTTGTCGATGCCACCGAAGGTAGCCTCGCTCTGACCCTCCTGGTCATCAAGGTAGAAAGCAAAGACAGGCTCATCCAGAAGCTTCTGGTTGACCATCTGGTAGAAGGGAGGGACCATGCCGTTCACGGCAATGCGGTCGTAGCCGAGACCAAGGATACCATCGAAGCGACCGAAGGCGAAGGCCAGGCCGGGCTCCTTGGTAGCCTCGGCGAAGTCCTGGTCCTTGATCTCGAGGTCGCCGATGGAGACAACATCGTTGGAGACGAAACCGGACAAGCTGCCAGATCCGTAGTGAATCTCGAACTCGGTGCCGTTCTCCTTGTAAGTCGAGGAAGCGGACGAGTCGTACTTGGAGTGGAGGTAGCAGGCGATGCTGCCACACTGCTGAGAAGGAACCCAGAGGTTGGAGCTACCAGTGTCGAGGACGACCTTGAAGCTCTGGGGAGGAGTACCAATGGTGATCTCGGAGAAGTCTGGGGCGGTTAGTGATGGCTAAGATTGGCGATTTTACTGATACTTACACTGGGCGTTCATGAAGTTGGAGACGGGGACGGGGTGGCCACCCTCGACATTGACGGTGTTGGTAGCGAAGGCGTAATCGGCGGCATTCTTGGGGCGAGAGGCACCGAGGTACTTCTGGCCGAGGCTCTGGAGGTGGTCCTCAACGGAGTTGGTAGCCTGGGAATCGTGTTAGAGGGCTTTAATGGAACGCGCAATTATCATGGGAATCAAACATACAAGCTGGTCAGCAAGAGGAACCTTGTTGAGCTTCATCTTGTGAACACCGGCCTGAGCAGAGCCCAGAAGCGCGGCAGCAGTAAGAAGAGCGCCCTTCATGATGGACAATCGGGTCGATAATGCGACCAAGTGATAGAATGATGGAAGAGCTCGACAAGAATGTTACGAGCTGTGATGGTGATGGAGATGCAGATGCAGATGCAGATGGTGAGTTGAGATGCAAGATGCAAGATGGAGTTGGAGGAGATAAGATGGTTGGTTAATAACGACGGGAGAGGTAAGAAGGCAAGCGAGGCGGAGGAAAGCACTGTCCAAGCTGTGCTGGGGGAAGCTTATTGCGCGTGCTTGCGGCCTGTTTCGGCGGTAAGTGGTGGGTGTGGCCTGGTCTCGCACCTCGCACCTGCCTGGATTCGTAAGTTACGCCTCCGGACTTTAGTCTTTTGGTGAAGACTCCCCTGCTCATGACCTTGTGACTTGGTCTTGCTTGTCTGGCAATGACGCACCATTCGTATCCACTTTCCCTGCTCGGCAACCAGCTCCAAGCCTTTCCGCCTTAGGCATCATGCCTAGGTACGTGTGTCTCATCTTATCAGCGCCAAGTCAAGCGTATCAGGAACAAACAACAAACGTGCTGTTACTCTTTACCAGGGTCTGGAACACTTCCCTTTTATGCTGTTGTCGTGGAAGATTCGTCAGAGGTTGATCATCTATGATGAGTGTGACATGCACGTAGTATTCGTATGATGCCCCTGGCTTGCTCACGCGTTTGCGGTGAGATATTTATGTTAGTGTTCCTGATAGCTTAACTTACAACGTAGTACCATTGAAGCTAACACTACCTTAGCATAGCACTCTGGGGTTAAACACAGCTCTAACTTAGCTCGGATCCTCCATCATGCCTTGTTCCTGATCGTCAGATGGATACATTCTGACCGTCTAGACAATCACAATAACGAAATATAAGTGGAATGAAACAAGTTATACCCAGAAAATATCTCTACTCTATTAAATATATAATATCCTTATAACAAATGCCCTTATCCCAATGAACCATCCTGTATTATATATAGCTACAACCACCTGGTTGTGCCTTTATCCGTCATAAAAGTCGTCATCATAACTTCGTTGGCAACATCAAACCATAACACTCAAGATCCTCGCATCTCCTTCTTGGAACGCTCCATCGCTTCAGCAAATACTTGCCGCACATCATCCAACTCAGCATAGTGCTTGATCAGTTCCTCCAATCTCTCCAACCTGGAGCCCGTCATATCATCCGATAATTTGCACCATCCAGAATGAAGTGCAACAAAAAGGAATGCTAGACTCCCACGGCAGACTTGGTCGTCTCGGATCCAAGAACGCAATGCTCCTCTTGTAAGGTTGACGCTGCAGCCACGGTCTCTTAGTAAGAGTATAAGCAAGCCCTTGAAGCCAATCTGTCCGGCCTTCAGGAATGCTTCAATAGCATCTTGGCCGATGGTCAAAGAACCCTTGAGATATCTCAACATGACAGGCAACAATCTATCGCCATGTCGCACGTTGGAGGTCGTGTTGATAAGCATATCTTGTGTGATCTTGAACTCATCTTCAGCTCTCTCCGCCAACACAACAAACTCCCTCGCTGAGCAAACACCTGCTGCAGCGTCCAAGAGCGGCTGTGTGACTCGTACGCTCTCGTCTTTGTGCTCAAAGAGAACTTGCAGGCCAGGAAAGCCAAGCTCCCATAATGTCTCAATGGCGATCTCCTCGTCGATGTCAACGTCGGCAGCACGGTTGGCAAGAAGCATCTCGAGAACTTCAGGTGCCCAGTCGTCGGTATCTTTCTGTGGTGAAGCTATCGCAGCTAACACGACTTGTTTTGTGAATTGAACTTGAGATGCTGGCATTTCGAGAAAGATGGCCATAAAGTCAGGTCGGCATCGGGTGTTGGCGAGAGCTAGTGTCATGAGCTTCTCATCGACAAAGCCCTCATGTGCTCGATGCTTGAGAAGAACTCTAAGCATGGCGGGGCCCTGACGGTTCTCGATAGCCTTCTCGGCAACGGTCGGTGTGATTTCTATCCGTGTTCCATGTTGTGTGAGCAGATAATCCATAGTCCTTGGGTGACATATGCCCGCGATGTTCTCCATCATCCACTCATCAAGTTCAATATCATCTCCGTGGAGTTCAAACAGCAACCTGAGTATCTGAAGTCCATGCCGTTCATTTCTTATCGCTCCGATCATGGCTGCGTCGCTCCATCTGAACTCGGGATGATCGAAAATAAGATCCATCATCTCTACGCTTGCACACTCTGCCGCAGAGCAAGAAAGATCTTGGTCGCGTGAGATTTCATCTTGTCGAAGTGTCATGATCTTTTCCAGCATTCCAGGACATCCCCATCTTGCTGCTGCTCGAATGGTATAAGGAGTCAAAGGCTCACCCTTTTTGAGAAGAAACGCCAGCATCTCGACTCTTCCGGTGAGTATCGCACTAACAAATGGCGACTTGAGTCGCGCATGGTGCTTTTCTCTATCTTCATCTGTGTTGCCAAATCCCAAGTGCTCAAGATTATCGCGTTTGTGGTTTGTCGATGCGCTGGGGGTGGGCAGTTCTGAGCCATTGGGTAATCCTTTGAGGAACTTGATTGCATCCTCAGCACAACGGAGCTTGCAGATGCTCTCGCTGGCCAATCGCACCCAGTGGAAGTTGTACTCCGACTTTGCTTGGAATACTCGTTTCACCTGGGTGGTACTTGTCCCTGACCATCCTCGCTTGATCGCGATGTGTCGCACGCGCTGGTTAATAAAGATCTCAACATCCTGCTTTGACTGGGAGAATGAGTCGAGATCTCGGTGGACAAACTCGCCCAGGTATTCATAAATCTTTGAACTTGGTCGACTTAGGATAAGAAGGTTGAGATTCACGGCTGGTTCTGGGCCATGGAACGTCTGCTCCATCAACTCCAACAGAATAGTTCGAGAGGTTACGTCGCACTCGTCCAGCCCGTCAATGACGCAGAAGATGCGACGGTCAGATCTGAAAGCAACCTCGACTAACAAGTTCCACAGTGCTTGAGGTTTCTCAAAGACTCGAGACCCGCGATGCGCGTGTCTTCTGCGGATTCTGTCGCTGAGGAAGTGGGGGTGGTTCTGAAAGAGTTGAGTGAGGAGACCTCGTAGAATACCCTGAGCAGTGTTCCTTTGCGAATCATTTGGGTCGCAGAAGAAGTACGCGCAGGTGTTGGTGGGATCAGTCGCGAAGTTGCTTGTGAGCCTCTCGGCGAGATAGACGCCCAATGTCGACTTTCCTCTTCCTTGAGTTCCAGAAAGCCATAAAACTTGCTGGTTTTCTGATTCTGGTTGAAGCCAGCTCTTGACTTCTGGCACATTCATAATCCATTCACAGGTCTTGGGCGCTCGCGGCCCCTGCTGTGTTCTGAGCGCATCCTTTTCTTGTGAAGGATCCGACCAGATGAGATCGTGATAGAATGCTTCAATCTGCTTTGCTTTATCCGCATCATCTATAAAGTCAGTATTTTTAAACTCTTGTCAAGAGATGTGGCGTCTTACTTGGAACGTGACGCGTTTCATAGCGCTTATGAGCAACAGTGCTTGTGCTCGGCCACGGATAGTGTCCCAAGAAGCTATCCGGCGATAAAGGACCCTCATCAGAGGCAGAGAAGCGCGACCTCGAAGATCGCGGCGAGTCGTCTTTCACTCTTGAGAAGCCCATTATTCGATTTGATGTGATATTGCGAAGATCAAGTTGCAAACGCGGTTCTTAGCCCAACTTACATGCAATAGTCGGTGTATCAATGGCTTCAATTTCCTGGCGTGATGCATGCGTCGACAGAGGAGGGGTGGTACCTTTTACCGTCTGTCATTAGTGCAAGCGAAGTGAAAGTCTCATGACAAGAAGATGAGAAAGAAGATACGGCAAAGAAGGAAGATCTATCGTATTCGAGATCGTCTAGAATACTGTGGCAATATCTCCTTCAGGGGAATCTTCATAAAAAAGCGTTGACATTAATTAGGGGAGCTAAACTAAATTAACAATAAACCGTTAATATCGGGGGCTTCCCCTCGTTGAGGAATGTCTAAAGGGGAAAATAGGAAGGCTGGTGTATACGCCAGCGCCAAGATGGTCTGGGCTCAAGGTCTTTTTTTCAAGGTTGTGGACTCGACCCATGCAGAGGCGACCAAGAATCTGCAATGACGTTAACTTAAGGTTCACAGAAAAAGAAAAGAAAACCTCAGACTGTATATTCTCTGACTGTATTTGAACATAATATTCACATCTATCGACTTTTCCTCGGTTTCCGATCTAGTCATGACCCCGGCCTATTAATTTCGCATCGAGATTATGCATATCATCCTCTGTCCAAGCTTCTGCAAACATTTTATCCCAGCCAATCAAGGTAATGAAGGCGCGTGAAAGAGAGGCCTCAATGTCTCGGCGCTCGTGTGTTAATGGCCACTCACTTGACGCGTTTCCCATCATCATCAGAAAACAAATCACCAATCATCCAATCGTAGTGAAGAATTGAGAATCAACATGGTTCAAGGCGATGTCCTAATGGTCATATTTGTGTAGTATTATATCCGTCCGACCTCTACGATAATTCTTTCCTCCCGCAATTCTCTCCCGTTTGATGATTGTATCGGACTTTGGGAAAACTGACTGCTTCAAATATAAACAGACTGAAAGCCAAAGCACACATCGTTCGGTGCGATCGAAATTAGAGCATAAGCTACAGTTCTACTGGACGTTTTGTGTGTGATAGCGTTGGCTTTTCGTATATTTATTTCGTGACCTTGAATGCAAATCACTTACAGGGTAGCCTCATACCAGGGTAAGCATCGTATAACCATAGACTGTGACTTTTCTTACTGACTAATGAGAGTAAGTCGCTGCTCAAGATGATTGTTTTATCCATTTTGTCTCTCATTACATGACCTTTGGGTACTCTTTATATCATTGATAGGGTTTTTGGTACACTTACGATTATGTTGCACTCCAGTCATCTCACTTATAAGAAGCGGGAAAAGAGGAAAATACATACCCAGTCCATGTTAGACGAATGCAACTGACAACGATTGGATGGCCAACTTATG